CTTCGTTCGCATCGCCCTGGGCACCCTCCTGGAGCGCCTCGGTCCGGTGAATGTGCAATCCGGCCTGCTGACTTTCGGAGCGTTTTGGGTGGCGATGGCTGCAGCCATTTCCGCTCCCTGGAATTACGCGCTGATTCGCTTCTTCATCGGTTGCGCTGGAGCCACTTTCGTGACCAACCAGTGCTGGTGTTCATTGATGTTCGCGCCCAATGTGATTGGAACAGCGAATGCCACCGCAGCCGGATGGGGAAATCTGGGAGGTGGTGTCACGCAAATCCTTCATGATTTCAGTGCTGTTCAACCCCATGGTCAACTCTGGCGTGGAAGCAGACACTGCCTGGCGAGTGTCCATGATCGTGCCTGCCGTCCTCTTCCTTATCACTGCGACGTGCTTGAAGCTGCTGTGCTGGGACACCCCTACTGCAAAGAGGTTTGACGTGTTTGTGACGGGCAAGACCAAGAAACCATCCTTGTGGGATTACGTTGAAGCGTGCAAGGACTTCAGGGTGATTGTCATGATCATGCAGTACTCAGCTTGCTTTGGGACGAACCTGGCGATGAACAACCAGTTGGCCACCCACTTCAGAACCTACTTTCAGATGGATGCGGCAGATGCCTCTGCCCTGGCAGGAGCATTTGGTCTCATGAATCTTTTTGCCAGGTCTTTGGGTGGTATCACGAGTGACGTCCTCTTCAAGCACATGGGCTTCCGCGGACGCATCTGGGCGCAGTTCTTGTCCCTCTTCTTTGAAGCAATCTTCCTCTTTTGCTTCGGCTTGGTGGACAACAGCACCTGGGCATCACAACTGCCCCGGGCAGTCAGGTTGTCCCTGAGTTGCGGGTGTCCGAGCCTCAGTTGTGCAGCTTGGCCTCCGCCGTCACTTGCCTCCCAGGTGGTATGGCTGTGACTGAAAGATTATTGCAAGGCTTGGTGCTTCCAAAGCTTTTGTGGTCGGCGCCCCTGACGCCGAAGTTGTCACCCGCAGTTACTGAGGCTTTCTATCGTGCCATCCGAGGACCTTGTACGTGGTGGTCCGCGGGACCAGGGCTGATGCCGAGGGATGTGATGATATAGACCTCGAGGCCCAGAGTCACCCGCAGTGGAAGCACTGGCGCAGCAAGCTGAGTGCGGCCGCCCGCACAAATCTTGACATTTTCCGAGGCGGTGCAGTGAAGACCAAATCTCGCCGGTACTGGAATCATGGCCGCGCTCGTGTGGCCACGCTGTGGCTTCCTCGAGGCACCTTTTTCAGGAGTGTCCCCGCCTAGACGCGGATCGGCGTCGTTTGCAGCAGCAATACGGCCTTGCGCCGGCCTTTTGGACTTCCGTCCCGCGTTGCACGAGCAAGACTGGGTGGATCACTATGAGTGCTTCCCAGTGTGCTGTCACCCGCGTGCGCATGCAAATTGCTGCCTGTTCTTTAGGCCTAGTAATAGTACCTTTGGCCGAGGAGGTTACTTGTCCCACATGAGCCTTGACTTGTTTGCCGTGACTTTTGCCTTTTCGGTTTAGGCTCTGCCTTTTGGGTTTAGGTTTCTGCCTTCCCCCACCCTTTTTGGTTTAGGCCTGGCTTGCCAGGGGTTTTTGCTGCCCTCGCTTTTCCCCCTTGTCCTAGATGATCAGGTGCGCCGGCCTTTTCCTGTAACAGTTCTTGTTACTTGCCGCAGCTTTGCAAAGCTGCGCCGCTGCATAAATGCAGGTGCAGGTTACAAACCCAATGGCCTCGGCCCAGTCAGGTTCCTGCACGTACAGCAAATGATGTTGCTTGGTGGACAACTCGCAGCCGTGGTACGTGGCCTTGGCACTGCTTGTGTGCTTCTCGCTCTTCGTCCAGATGGCCGAGGGCACCAGCTACGGCATCGTGCCTTTCATGAACAGGCCCTGCGTTGGCCGTGTGCAGCCCCGTGCTGCTGCCTAAACCCGCTTACCTGTGAAGTTAAGCCCCGTGTCAGGTTGGGCCGCCCCAAAATACGAATAACAATATCGAGAACTATTTTTCCAAGACCTAAGAATACGAATATTACTGCTATTACAAATATCAACAACGATAACAGCAACAACAACAACAGCAATGAATGAAGTAGTAACAATAACAAGACGAATAATCAGAACACTGATAATTAAATATCAATATGAAAACTGATAGCAACAATACTAACAGTATACTAACATATACTAACTATTGTTATTAGATAAGATAGTGCCTTTGAGCAGGCAGCAGCTGGCCGTGGTGTCCGCCCATGTTGGGGCAGGAGGAAATCTGGGTTCCGTCATCGCCGGCTTCTGCTTCTACAGGCCAATCAATGACCCTTTGCTTCCCTTCCAAGTACACGCTGGCTATGTGATGTTCTGGGCTTTGCTGAGCCCTTGCTACTACTGGGCAGAGCACGGAGGCATGTTCCACCGCCCTGCCGCGGCACCGGAGAAGTCCGAGGCCAAGGTGGTTCCCATTGGCTGAGGTGGCTGACTGCACTGACGCCTTGTAATTGCACGCGTGTTCGATGTCGTGCGCAACTACTTTCTTTCATCTCCGCTGTCACACGAGCAACCTGCTTGAGGGCTCGAAATTCGCTTCTGCATTTCGGGCCCTGTAATTTTGTCGACTTGTGTCCGTCCGAAGGATGGCACAGCACGGTCCCTAGCAGCCTTGGCATGGAGTGCAAGGTTGCAGGCACGCACGTGCATCTCGCTCGCTGATCATGCCGGCAACAAAACCTTGAGCAGGGTTTTGTGCTTGGTTGGGCAAGGGGGGAATTTTGCAGGTGTCTTCGGTGAATTGTACCCTGCAACACGCTTCGCCGTGCTGGGGTCGTGTGATTGTGCTCAGTTGGGTCTGGATTTGCTGATAAGCTGGTGCAACATCGAAGTGGGACTTAGCTGACCAACTGCGACCTGACACCTCATCTGGCATGTCCGGGAAACCCAAAGCAACCGCAGCATGGTCCTTCTTTGAGCGAGTGTGAAAGAGTCCATCAGCCCTGCTTTGTTCACTTCGGGAGCCGAGGATGGCGGTGCTCCTGGCGGGCCCCGAGGAGGCATTGGACCGAGACCTGCGGCGCATCCGGGACCTCGAGATGACGACGCTGTCCTCGCCTTGGTCAAAGGAAGCTCTCTGTTTGGCTGTGCAGCGTTTCGAAAGGAACGTGAACCCCACCGCTCCCAGGTACCAAAGCTACGGATCCTTCGACCCTGTAGCCTGTGCCGGCGGTCTCACCGGCGGCGACGTCGATGCGTGGCGGGCAGCCGGGCAGCGCGTTAGGTCCTCTTCCCGCCGGCCCGTTACTGTAGGGGTCCCAAATTCTTCAATTACGGGAGTTGGTTTCTGGCACTCTGGAGACGCATTTCGTTCGACAGAAGAGTCGTGTTGGAATGTTGCGGTCGGTCTACAAGAAGTTGTTGACTGACATTGCCTACGCGCGCACGGGTCTGGTGTTTTACGACGTTCAGATGCACGGAAGCATGATTCTACCACACGGCTTCTATAATCTATGCTGAGCCGAAAGCATCCACAACTCAAGGTGTCCCGAACAAGAGCGTGATGCACATGACAACTCGGAAGCTTTCTCCCAAGACTCTAGCAAGAGGTATGCTGTGCGGAACTGGCGGCGAAGCGGAAAGCAGAGAAGGCTGCCAAGATGGACAAGACGGGACCAAAGCCTTGAATCTTGCTGAGGCACAGGCTCAGGACACTTGCCCTTTCTTGTGTCAGGGTGCTGTAGATGTTCGTAAGGATCTGGTGCTGTATGTACAAGGTTTTGCTGCTAGCCTCCCATGCGTAGTCTCTATCCAGAACCCGGCATCAGGAACGCGGACGCCAAGAGAGGATGGCTGCATCTCCACTTCGGAGCGAGGGCTGCGAAGGACGCGCCAAGGGCAGGGACGGCACGGAGATGACCCCACTCGCGCTCTTCATTACTGGTGTTGTTGGGAACCATCACTATCAGGCGCTTGCTCGCCAGTGGGTGCAAATGGATTCCCATCTGGGTGTGGGATGGTTTGCATCGGAGATGAGTGCAGCATGGGGCAGGCGCAGATGTACCATGGTTTCTGGACAGCCGTTCCCCTCGAACTAGTATTGGAGACACTGGCACGGAAGACTGGCAACCACATCGCGGCGATATGTGTGCATCGGACAGTCTCCTCAATGGCAAAAAAGGCGCAACGAAAAATCATTGCAGGTGCCAGGCTAGCACCCTGCGGGGAAACCAGCCAGTTCGTTCGAGTCATCCCCACTTGGGTCGATAGAAGGGCATCACCGGTTTTCCGAGCTTTAGTCATTTTACCTCGTCTTTGGAGCTCCATCGTAGAAGCTTGGAAGCCCAAGGTGGCCCTTGGATGATCGCACCTGCAGTTCATCAGCGTTGACCACCGGAATCCTACTGTCATTTACTTCACTTTTGTTTTAACTTCACGTGTCCAAGACGCCGCAGCCACAAAGAGCAGCACGTGTGTACGTGTGTGTGTGTGTGTGTGTGTGTGTGTGTGTGTATGTTCTCATGCCGCATGCATGTGCGTATCTCTGCCTGGCTGCCTGCCGGCCTGGCTGGCTGTCAGGTTTTTTCACGGGTACGTAGGATGTCGTAGCTACATCGGAGTTTACGTAGGGTGCACAGGTAAATATGTGGGCAGGTGTGTACGTAGGTACCTGATAGGTGCGTAGGTACGTATGTGATGTCAGTCTCGTAGTCTGTCTTTGTTTTGTCTGTGTCTCTATGTGTATATTTACACAGTTTATTACATGAGAGGTAGATAGATAGATGCAGAGGTAGGTAGGTAGTTAGATAGATAATGAAAGGTGCAAGTAGATAGATGGAGGGACAGATATTTGCACACACACATATAGTATATATATATATATATATATATATATATATATATATATATTATATATATATATATATATATATGTGTGTGTGTATTTGTTTATTAGTTAAGATCTCTTATCTTATAGATACGCAAGGTGTAGATATAGGTTCATGATAAGGTACTCTAGACGAAGGCTCGGCCGATTCGGCCTGCGCGACCTGCCGGGGCGCTTCGAGGGCGGCTTCGGAGCGGTCCAGGCGCAGAGAGTGCCGTGTCGTCACAGGGAGAGATCTTTTGACAGCCTAACAAAAGCTTTTCCAACATTTTTTGATGGCCTGACACAGAGTTTCAAGAATAGAAATTGGGTATGGGGGCCTCGAGTTTTGCAAGGCGTGGCAGGGTTTAGGGTTCAGAACATGTTCATGCCACGGCCAGCCAGGACTGGTCGCGCGTGCTCTCCTTGGGGGAGCAGCAGCGCCTTGCCGCAGCACGCTGCCTTACGACGTTCGGGCCTTTGACGGCTCCGGGTTCCGACATCAGAGGGTCTTCCCGATAGTGAACGGGAACCAGCTTCAGCCGTTCTAGGTGCATCGGAGATGGAGACTGCACCGCACATTCAGAGTCTGACCTGGTTCCCTGGATGCGCCACCTGCTTCGTGAACCGGGGCCAAGCACACGAGAAAATGCCAGGAAGCAACAAGGCGACCGTAAAGGCTCCAAAACATTGGCTGAGTCACATGCATCTCCCCAAACACTGCCTTTGCCGGAGGCAGCCGCGTTTTGTGGTGCTCGATGAGGCTCGACGTGCCTGCGATAGTGCTGAGACGTCGTTACCCGCAGACAAAAAGGCAGAGAGCTCATGCCTTGAGGCCACAAGTGCTTTGCCACTAGCTGCGGAGAAGACCGTTTACGACCAGCGGCTGCCTTGGCCATCAGTTCTTTTCGGCCCAGACAGTTTGGAGACTTGAGAGCACGTCGGATTATGGAAGTTTGGGCCGTTTGGGAGGCATGTTGGCACGTACGATACTTTGTACACGGCACCACGCTTACGTTTTGCACACAGGGGACACCAAGGTGCATATAGTACAGATCCCTGCAGTATCCTGCCTGAGTAGTAATATCCGTATTGCACAGGTCTCCAGTGCAGGACGCCCCTTGCTTCGGGAAGCTTGTGACTCAGACATGACCGCAGGTTCACTTCGGAGCCGCGCATCGAAGGCTATGTCAGCGGCTCAGAAGTAAGGATAGAGAGAAAAAGTATAGGTTGTTAGGCCAGCATGCTTAAGCTTCGTGTAATTGTGGCACTTCCCGGTATGGTCCGGGCCAAATCCAATGTTAGCTGCATGCATGCAACAACGTATACTATGCATCTTTCCATCCATGTATGGATCCGTGGACGCATGTGTATAGACAGAGAGATATTTCCCAGGTCAGCGTGGGACACCGCGTCAGCTTGGCAAAGTACCATGACGCCTCTACGGCACACTTAGTAGGAAGATGGGGGAATAGTGTGTTGCCAGCCTTTGCTGTGCCTCGCTGTGGTTTCGAGCCAGCACCTTTGGCTGCTGACCGTTTCTCCTCGTCGTAGCTGATGAGTTCTTCTTTCTTCTTGTTTTTCGAGTCTGTCTCTGTGTGTGTGTGTGTTTGTATATGGCAGGTAGTCCTGGAGCTCTTGGGCGAAGGGCAGTGGCGCGTGATGACGCCCTCGGAGTACGAGGCTGGGAGCAGGGTCAGTCCCTGTATGATTGGCTGAAACATGCCTCGTTCACTGCACGTGCAGTCCTCGCGATTAGGGAGAGCAGCTCTGTGTGCTTGCTTTGGGTCTTGAAGTTCTCATCCAGAGGATGGCCGCAAAATGAAGGCTGCAGGTCCAGGCGCACTGCCAAGCCCGAATTCCCCCAACGCCCCTCTTCCGACCTGCGCAGGCCACAGTCGGTTCAAAGTGACCGTGCAAGCCGGCTCTGGCTTTGCAAGAAAGAAGGCTGGGGTTCCGGAACTGTGCGGGCAGCCCTGGTTGCGCGCGATTTTGTCCGCCGGGTGATTTTTGCGGAGCCCTGCAAGAGAATTCAGGCTTTCACCCCTTGCTGACCATGTGCCAGCCGCCGCTCATCGGATTGGGTCCAAGTGCCGAGACGTGACTTAAGACGATGGCAACCAGCACAAGATTGCGATGCATTATCGAGATCGGCCACCTCAACTCAATCCTTCGTGGACTTGAAGACGGGGGAGCATCCCTGATCCCCCAAAGGAGCCCCACACAGACACACGCAGCCAGTCCCTCAGAGGGCAGTCCTTAGAGAGCCGCCGAAGACCCCTGCCGTCCGATGGCCAGCACCTTCACAGCCGGGGCCCAAGCCCAAAAGCCCAATCAGGCTCGAGTCATTTCTTTGATCCTTCTCGGGGGTCTGGGCTCGGGCTGGGCTCGGGCTGGCATCAGCCTGTTGAAGTGAGGGCCTCGTGGTGAGACTGCTGAAGATGGCAGGTCGAAGGTTTCATCAGTCAGGGTCAAGGTTGATGCAGTCCTTCCCAAGACTTTCCCATTCTCCTCCGCTTAGCTTGCGTTTTGCTTCGTTTTTCCCGTTCGGTCCATTCTCAAGTTGCACCGCACGAGACCTCGATGCATGCCTCTTCTCTCGTCCGCAGCTCCATCCATCCCCATTAGCAAAGAAGCTTCGAGGTGAAGCGTTGAGGCTCGGAATAAGATGCTGTGGGTGTGCGTCACAGAGAGATTTCGAGGGCACCCCCCAAAATCGCCAACCCGCCTACGAGCAGGCTGTCTGCCAAACCCAGGAATGTCTGCCCTGCATCGACAACCCAAAGCAGTTACCCTTATAGTCGGCCTTCTTAGTGTGCTTTCTAGCAGCCCTCCTACTGGCCTGTGGAGTAGCATGCTTTAGCTGCGAAGCTGTGGTGCCATGCGGCGGAGACGGCAGCTCTCGAGGATCTTCTTGCTGGCGAGACTTGGGTACATAGGGAACCGAGCATATGATTCAAGCACTTCTGAGCCAGCGTTTGAGCTTTCTGCCAGACCCGTAGCGCTCGATTGTAGACGTGTCTTGTACGGGGCTGAGAGAATTTGGAGCTTCGAGTTTTGAATTTTGGACTCTGCTTGGCTTTCTGGGGACAGCACCACGGCGTGGTTAGACTGAAGCCGCTAGACTGCCGACCCTTGCATGTCAGGCCTGAAGACTAGATAAAGCAACACTTCTTGCACTACATAAGTGAGCTGCAGTTACATGACCCTCAAGGTCTTACCAGTCCTGCGTTTTGCTTCACTTCTGTAAGACGTTGCGCGGCATGGAGTCATTGGAGAGCACAGTCACTTTATGTGTTGGATGCCGTTTGTTGATTCCTGTCATCAAGACTTTCCTGTCAGTGTAGTCTCACCCTTCAAACTCCGAACCACATGCCTCGCCTGGATTGTCCGAGAGCGCCGAAGTAAAGCAACAGCTCCGGCAGCTTCGGTGCCGGGAGGCCGCGATATGGGCCGCCCCACTCGCTTGGGATGGTCCCTGGCCGTGGTGGATGGCGAACGTCGAGGCCTGCGGACCCTCGCGCTCCAGCTGTTAGGAACGGGCCAAACAGGAGGAATCATGTGTGATCGAAGATCCCAAAATTTCTAGGCCCAACGACACAAGAAAAACCCGACGCTCCCCCAAACCCTAAACCCTAAATTCCAACAAAGATGGGCTACATCTTAGATGGCCCTGAAAGGTCAGACTGCGTGATATCAATCTGCCCCTAACCTCGCCTGTGGACATTGCTTCCTGCCATGCGAGAGGGAAATCAATCCTAGGGGAAAACCCTGAAACCCTGAACTTCACTCGTCAGTCTCCGACATGCCTCGCCTGGATTGTCCGAGTGTGAGCGCCGAAACACCGACTGAGGAGCCCGAGCAAGTGTCCAAGACGACTTCCATCCTCGTCGGGGCCACTTCGGCTTGGGCTCCGCCAGGAAAAATCTCCTTCGATGGTTTTTTCGTTGTGAATTCGGTGAGTTTTGGGTTTAGGGGAAATCGCAAAAGGGTTTCGGATTTACGGCTTTGGATTTTGGGTTTTGGGATCTTAGGGTTTGGGGAATTCGGTGAGTTTCCGACAATTACGGGTACGTACCTCTTTTGGGGGTTGCTTATCGTCTATAATAATTAAGGATCCGACTATTTAGGGTAGTATATTAGGGTCCCCTATTTTCCGGAAACTCCCAATTGGTGTATCGATGGGATGCTTGACGGAATCAAGCTAGAGCAGCTACAGTATACAGGAAGAAGGTGTCAATCGAAACATTCTGGATGCAAGGGTTCGATATGCGCTCCGGCAAGCTTCATGTTGCGGAAGTTGTGAACAGTGACACACCCACCCACAGCATCCATGTCGGATGCACACCCCCGACCAACTTCCACTGAGACTCGGAAAAGCCTACCTACCGCATACTCTGGCATGCAATGCGAAACATACCACCATGTTGCGGATGTCTTTGGTGCTTCTGCTTTGATACGAGTACGTGTCGATTCCGAGGGAAGATCTGAGCACAATCGAAGCAAAGGCTCTTTCAGCTCCGAAGCTGAGGTTCTGGTGGTGATGCTGTGGGAAGTGCTCTGCACATCCTTGACCAAAGACGCTTGAATGCACTTGTTGAGGACTCTGCTCCGGCATCCTGGCGTCGCCATGTGTCGCCTACATCGTGAGGAGAAGCCCACCATCGTGACCGAGTTGGTTGCACTGCTCTGCCGGGGCCGCAAGGCCTTGGAGAAAGATCTTCGGCTCATCAAAAGCACAGCCCCTGTCTGGAGGAGGAGAAGCTTCCGGACCAGCGGCAGGGCCTGGCCCACGTGCTGTGCCAGAAGATGGACGAGTTCTCCCAAGAGAACGCCAAGGCGAGAAGCCACCAGAGTCTGAGAGGGGGAGCCTCAGGGTCAAGGCTTGCAATCTCCTCTGTGTATCGTCCCCATCCACAGCCACGACCATTCGACACTCAGAGCACAACCACCGGCGGGTCTTTGTTCGTGGTCAATTACCTGATTTCCATTTTCGCCATGAGTGTATACTCATCTGCACTTATGACAGCGCATGCGCGTCGATATCAAAACGTAAGATATGAAGGCGTCGTGGGTGGGCGTGGCAGTAAGCAAGTAGTTGGGTAGCTAGGTAGGTCGGTGTCTGTGTATGCGTAAATAGATTTGCGCGTGTATGCCTCCGTGTACACCTGCGCGTAGTGCGTGTAGGCATCCTTGCATCCTGTAGGCCTATGTGCTTGTATAGCTCTAAGCAGTTGTTCGCTCGCACATCTCTGGCACATCTCTTCCATGGTGCGTCGAAGCATTGCGGTGATCAGCTGAAACGCGCATTGAGTCTGAGGCCCACTTCTGGTCGGCCCGCACCTGGTCTCGAGACTTCGAGCCCAGCGAAGAGCTGAGCACCTGGGAGCTCGAGGACATCCCCGGACTTCGACGCCTGCAACGCGCGCACAAAGAACTTGGGGGCGGCTTTTTCTGTGTAGATACATGCGTGCAGGACTCTTCTTGCGGTCCCAGCCGCTTTCTGCCGCTTCCGAGTATGTCGGTCATCTTCTTCGCCGAGCACACCATCACCAAACAGCAACGCTGCAGCGATCCAGTGCTGAGTTGCTTCCGATGATTGTCGCCCACTGACCTGAGCAGTTTTTCAATATGGGGTCGCTGACCGGGGTGCTCCGGGATCGCGAGCGTCTCTCTGTGGCACGAATCCGTTCTTGAGGCAGAGCGAGGGCAGCATCGAAATCACCCTGCTTCGTGTTGGGGACCTCAGCAATGAGGCGGCAGAATTATTGATGCTTCTTTAGGATTTGCTACAGGTAGGAGAAAGCTTTGGATGCGATTGCTCGGACTTGGGGACTAGAAGGCAGCTCTAGAGTTCTTCTCAGCCTTGATTACCAGATGTCAGGTGGCGGTGGAGCTGGCCACAATCGTCGGGACCGCGAAGGCCGGAATTCCCCAAACTTGGCGCATCGCCGCATCGCAGTTTCCTCCGAGGCCGAGAACTGCTTCAAGGCCTCCAAGGGCCTGGCGGTCTTCCCTCCCGGCTCCAGCTCCGCAGTCTTCTCCGTGGAGCTGCTGCCCCACGAAGGCATCCGGAGGGCTTTTTTCTCAGTTCGTCGCTCCTTGACCTCCTCTTTTCCCCGTCTCGCTCTCCCTCCTTCCCTTTCGTTCTTCTCTCAGCTTTTCTCTTGCCAAAAGGCTTCATCTCGCAGCGATTCTTCGTCGTCCACGTGGAGCGCATCATCGGCCAGGCCGCCCCAGAGAGCCAAACCTTTCCTCACAATTCACCAGCTGCGCAAAGAATCTAGAGGCTGGAGATACCAGATGTGTCGCAGAAGGAACTGCCGGCCTGCCGTGGTGGCAGTCCTTGAGCTTCCTTTCCCGTCGGCTTAGGAAGGGATTCCGGGGCTGTGGCTGTGGAGATTTGGAGTTGGCTTTGAAGCTGATTGTTTCTGAAGGTTTGTTGGGGGTTGTTGGATGCAGCAGGCCACCATGGGCAGCTGCTTCTTCACCCGCGTGCGGCTGCTGCCGTCAGGGGTCGGGGCTCCAAGAAAGCTGCGTGGCTTCTTTGATCATGGGGATTCTGTATCAATATTGCTACTATGATTACTACTTGTTGCTATTATGACCATGATTACCTCAAGCAATCAGTGAAGCAATCACGCTTTGGAGCTGCATCGGCCAAAGCCGGCATACACAAGCTGCCAGAAACTCTAGGAGTCGATCTTAGTTCTGGCAAGCTGGGGCAACGCAGACTTGGAGATAGAGACCCGGCCCAGACTCCCCCCCAAGAGGTTTCAGTCACAGATAAGGGCCGTAACGCATCAGCTTGCTGAAGGAGAGGGAGGCTTCGGGACATTGATTTGAGGCCGGGAGGCAAGAAGGGGGGAAGAAGACATTGGCGAACCAAGGGAACCGGCGTGCACTGAACCCGTGTTGGTGAATATCCATGGCTTCACGGAATCAATGATTATTCCACAGCCCTCGCTCTTCACACGACGAGCAACTTTGCATGAGACTGCAACATTTGACTGCCCTGTGGCGGCCTGTGGCGTCAGGTCTGGCCGACAGGCCTAAAAGCTGCTGACGTGGTGCCATGGAAGCACATGATGACGGGTTCTCCACGAGTGGAGCTTCACCCATCTGTCGCAGCCTCCAAAATTAGTGAAATTCAACCCTCTGAGCCAAATCGCAAGGAACTCATGCGTTGCCTAGAAGAGAGCGCTAAATCAGCGATGCCACAACAGTACTCTGGCACCTGTTTCCCCAAGATCCGATCGCTTGAAACTTCACTTGCAAGTTCCTGGCTTTTCTTTAGCTGTTTCGGGGCTCTTCGAAGACGGAATACACGATATGAGGCGGAGCCATTTTCGAAATACGTTCCTAAAACCGATGCCCACGCTCCCTACATCCCATCAGCCGAAGAAAGCCACGGAAAGCCCCGAAGCTCAGCACTCCACCACCTCAGAAAACCCGAATACCAAATCTGGGGGGGGTTACCGCAGCTCACCAGGAATGCCCAAATCCCAGTCGTCTGGTGAGGCTGATGCAAGACTGCACTTAGTCTGGGGAAATTGAAAATCCCACCTGCAAGCCGAAGGTAGGAAGCTTTGCTGAAAGCTTCACAGATCCTTGAAATAGGTGTATCCGGAATGTCGATACCGTCTGCGTAGACACCATTGAGGCGCCACCTGCATTCTGATTCTGCATACCTCCACGCCACCAGAAGTACCATGCAAACCTTATGCGACAATCAACGAACCATCCTGTTCTCATAAGTCAGTTCTCTCTATGGAGACCCCGGAGCCGGATGAGCCCCAAGGGACGGCAGAATTAGGCACACTTCCAGGAAGATGGTCTGGGCCTTTGCGGCGATGATGCTACGGCGTCGGGGCGTCCGCCTCTGGAAGGCGGGGAGCGTGAGATTTCTTTCGATTCCGTCTCGTGAGGGCGAGATTGAATCAAAGCCACAAAGGCCCACCGTCTGCAAGTGTAGATGGGCTCAGGGAGGCATTCGTAATTGGCTTCTCGCACACAAAATGGCAGCGAGTCCCGCGATGCCGTTGGGGACGCAGTTTCCACCACATGGCAGCAGGTGATGGCCTCCATCGTGTGGCTGGACTTCCACCGTGTGGTCATGAGCCATGCCCTGGATGGAGTGGGTATGGCGTTCTTGCGGCGGGAATCTCTGGATTCGGGCAGGGTAGGATTGGAGATGGAGCACTTGGGATTTGTGAACGCAGGGAGGAGCTGGGCAATCTGCAGCAGGCTTAAAACCACGCGGGGCCGGGTGGGAGCGTTGACTGAGAGCGTGGAGCCAAGGAACACGCTGCTGCTAAACTACGCGATCTACGACCCTCGTTGCGAGCCGTATTTCTTTGGGAGTAGTTTGGGCACGGTTGCCCAGGGCCGAGGGTCTGCACTGCTTGGCTTTGCCCAAGCGACAGGGGGTGTCAAGGGTGAAGGCCTCTGGTCAGGCCAGGGCAGGTCATCTTAGGTTAGGATTCTGGGTCACAAGCATGAAGCCTCCAAGCCAGAGCCCTTGGCTCTTGGCTTTGCAGCCACGAACAGACGCAATATCATGAAGAAGAGACGAAACCAAGATACAAGCCAGCTTTTGTCGGGGTTCTTTCGCAGTCGTTTTCGTCCTTTCCGGTGGGCTGTCTTTTGCGCCGCCGTATGAAGGATTGTGCACGTCTTGTCGACACGGCAAGGGCCTCCGTATATAAGCCAATCTGAGCATCTTGAAGCTGGCCGAAGTGGGGAGAATCGAAGTAGTTTAAAGCAGGGACAACGAACCCAACAAAACTGCAAGGACTTTTGCTTGACGAAGGCCAGCTTCGAGGCCGCGTGCCACCGCCCCTCAGCCGATTGGGGACTCCAGCATGCGACAGCATCCCAGCGCGGACATCTGAATTCGAAACCGGGCAAGAAGCACAGCACCTGAAAGTAAAAGATCAGAAAGCCCGCTTCGATGTCTCCAGTTCCTTGCAGAACTTTCGAGATGTCGACTCTAGCCTGTGGCAGAACTGGGCTAGCGGTCGCGGCCAGGATATCCCCCACTTAGTGTACGAAGCAGATCCAGGTCTGCCTTTCATCGTCCTGACGAAGCTGGTGCTGGTCTGCGTGGACAGGCTGCTGGCTGGCGAGAGTGCTTTTTCAAGCTTGAGATGACTGGCGGCTGAGATTCGTCGCCTTGTGCTCTCCAGCTCGGAGCTCGGGAAGCCCAGGCTGGCCAGCCACGTCAAGGCGGCCATGCTGGGCAGCCTCTCCACCACGCGCCTGCTTCAGGAGGTGCTCCTGCACAGGTACCTGCAGCTGCTCGGATGGGTGACACGGGGTCTTGAGTTTCGAGTTGGAGTTTCGAGACTGCAGTCACACTGAACTATTGTAGCAAATAGGTGTCCATGAAAGCTTTGGGGAAGACCAGCACCAAGGCTTCCCAGCGATGTGCTGCACCTTGGCACCTTCCTGCACATGCTCTTCGACACCGTGCCCGAAAGCGTAACCTACGGCTACAAGACCGGGATCTGCCGACTTCGTAGGTTCCCCTCGAGGTTCACCGGCCCGGCTGTCTGCTGTGCAGGACCATCTTCCAGCTGGCGCACAGCTCGGTGTCCATGGTCTTCTCTGTCCTCATCGCGTTGGTAGTGCAGGCTGGGCCCGTTCTGACGTCTCGTCCGAGAGGGTATGTGCGGTATGCCTGCACTCTGGTGATGCAACGGGAGGCTTTGGTTTAGTTAGTTTAGTCCTGCTGAGGTCCTCAAAGGGGAGGTGCCTCCGCGCAGCGCCTGGCAGCCGCTTCTCTGGATCCTGGTGCCCATGTGCTGGTGCCTTTGCGGCCTTTGGCTTCATGCTTCGGGTTCTCGGAATCCCTGCATGGTTCAGAGCTCGGGCGGGCGGTTCTCGCCAGGTTCTCCCTTTGACGACAACGTTTTTGATTCCTCCCAAACTTTAAAGTAGTGTCTCTGCCAAGGACAGTGATCATCAGCGTCTGTCAGCGGCGGAGTTCTTTCAATCGCGGCTCGGCTTCTTCGGCTTCCGTTGCGAAGTCTGCTGCGCTTTCTCGCGGAGCATGAGCTGATCAAGTGTAGACCTTTATCGCGCACTGTCCCTGGACTCTCCATCTGTTGTCGAGAGCTTGTCCGACTCATGCGGCTTCGAGGATGGGCAGTGCAGGCACGCGACTCCGACATCGCCGCTTCTCCCAGGGCTGGGATGGAGTCAGGCCTAGGCTTTCGTTGATGTGGCGCTGCAGTAGCCGTCTTGAGTTCGGTCTTTCTGGTCTTGGGGATTCTGGACTCTGGACTGCCTGGCTGCGAACTCAGACTCGAATCGTTGTGTCAGTTCAAGTGGCTTTTCGAAGTTGTCTTTGTGAGCAAGGCAAGCTGTGCACTTGTGCCTTGTGCACGGGCATCTCTTGCAGTAGCCCTTAGAGTCACTTCTTGTAGTAACACCTTACCGGAGCCCTGATCAGTAGCCCTGTTGGTATTTCGACTTCCAGCAGCGGATCCCACTTCCCGGACTCGCTGGTAGAGCTCAAAGCCGAGGAGAAGACCTCAGCCATGGTGGAGCTGTTGAACTGCAGGCAGTGGCTGAGAGCCTACGACGGCTCGCCCCTTCGGTGGCAGAGGATATCCGGGCCCGTTGATCAAGAATCCTACCCACCCGCTTCCTCGGATAAAAACATGTGAGTCATGAATCCCGGAGGTGTCAGGTGGGGAGAAGGAGCACCTCAGAGAAGAGAGCCGGAGGTTAGCCGCTGCTCATCTCAGCTGTCAGCTCAGGTACCCTGTGCAGCATGTGCGGAGCACGTTTGATGATGCCTGGTCCAGCTTCCTGGAACCTGGATGTTAATTGGGAAGTCTCAAAACCGAAGCCGCCAGGCGTCCTGTAGCTGGATCTCTATCCAGTGCCAAGGAAAAGCGGACCTTCTTCGGGATCTACAAGAACGACACGCAGTGGCTGGCTCGCTACGTTGGGGAGCTCACGAAGGTTCCAGGGGCCCCGAGTGTCGTCAACTGATGTTAACTGCAGCCCCGGAACATCCGACGATTTCCGTCAACAACCAACCAACTAATCAAAAACCAACCAACTTGCCAAGCAAGCAAGCAGGCAGGCAGGCAAGCAAGCAAGCAAGCAATGAATACGTGTATGCTGTGCGTCTGTAATGAATGAGTGTGATCTATACTGCCTTCCTATGATATATGTACATATATGCCGAACGAACATCTCAAGCCCCGCCCTTTGCCGCGGCTCCGGACTGGGCTTCAAGGTGCTGGGAATTCTGTTCGGTGGCTATGCGGTCGTCCAACACACGCAAAGTGGGGAGGGCAACATGACTATCGGCCGCTTCACAGTGTTCCTTGGCCCCTGCAGAGCGACCGACCAAAAACTACTTGTAGGCAGAGCGTTTCAAAAGCCACCGAAGGTTTGTCAGTCTCTACAGCATCATCGTGGATGTGCTGTACAGCTTTATCGAAGCATGGGATGGCTTGGTCTACGCAGGGATACTCGTCGAGGAGCTTGCGCAATTCATAAACAGGCCCAGCCGGTGGCTGCATCAGCTCTCCGACGATCACGTCGACTCGGAGAGCCATCCAGTGCTTACGGGCTCCTTCGCCATAAAACTGACTTCTGTGAGCTTCCACATGGATGCGATGCCTAGCAAGCTGTCATCAACGGATGCAGATATACCGCTGGGCCGTACTTATGGTATCCGGACGCTCAATGATGCGAGCTCCTTGCGTCGGCAGCTAGGCCGGGAAGCGAAGCCTCAGAGCAGCTCTGCGAGTGCCGCCTTGGACACCTGCAGCGGTTGTGTCGTCAGTCCCCTACTTTTTCTCCTCAGAAACAGGCTTAGCTCGAAGCTTACTGACAGGTGAGATCCTTGGCGGACTGCGGGTACCGCCTGGCAAGGTAGACTTGGTCGCCTGCGCCAGGCGCTCTCTGAGAGAACTATTCACTCGAGGTTAAAGCGTAGGTCCTTCTTTCCCTGGAAACTTCCTCACCTTCCTCTCGCCCTCACAGAAGACGCCGGAGGTTTTTGCTCCTGAAACCACCCGTCACCTTGGCGACCGGAACTGTTCTGGAGAATCTGCTCCTCGAAGCAACAAGTAACAAGCCCATCCCGCTGGTGAGAGGCGCGGAAGCATGTTGACTTCAATGCAGCTGTTGCCAAGGCTCTCCAACGCCGCGGCTTGGGTGCGGGCGAGCGACGTCCTCGCAGCTCGGCCCAAGAAGGGCTTGCAGGCTTTCTTGAGACCTGCGCGTCTCCATGGCTTGCTTGACCCCCCATGCCGTTGTCCTCTTTTTCGAGACTTTGTGTGTTCCAAACACGGGACTCAGATGCTGAGGCGCTCTTGGCGATGCTGGGCATCCCGTTGCCCCCGCCGCCGGGTGCCCAGCCGCGGCACGCGCTGGACCCGGCCGTCCTTCTCCAGGCTCCGGAGGGTCCTTTCAAGTTGAGCTGTTCGAGCATGCTTTGACATCCTATGGGCAGGTTGCTTTTCGAAATGGGTGGTCTTGCGGCCTTAGCTGTGAATTCAGGCGGCGAAGCAAGCTGCTGAGCTCCACGGAGCCACGCCGCCCCAGCTGAAGAGCGACAAGCTCTATGCCCACTGCACCTGGCTGCCTTGTCTGCAACTGTCTAGTTTGTGCAGAGCAGCTTGAAGTACTTAAGGGATCTGGAAGCTGCAAGTCTTTGAGACAACCTTCCCAGCTCCAACTCGCGCCAGGTTCCGAGATCGCTGCGTGGAGTCTGACATCGACGTGCTGTCGCAGATCACGAGAGCAGAGGAGCTGATTGCTTGGAATGCGCTGGACCAGCTAAGTAGTGCAACTAGTGGCCGTAGGGTGGCCTTTGGAGAGCAGTGCTATCCTTATTGACATGGTGCCAATCCGAACAACGGCTAGGCCAAACCGATGGTCGCAGAAGCGGTGCAGCAGCAAAAAGCACAAGCTGCTGTAAGTCTCTCGGGATGGCACTCGCACCCGCAGCTGAGCTCTAACGACAGCGAGGAGCTTCTGCAGCCCTCGGAAAAGTTTTTGTTCGACATCGCACGTGGCCTTCTCGCTGATCCGGAAGTGTTGGTGGTCCAGGACATGGCTTTTGCGCAAGGAAAGGAGGCATGATCTTGGGTGCGGGGAAGGGGTGATTGAATGATTGCATCATGCCAGCCAAAGGCCCAAAGAATGACCATTCAAGCACCCGGCACACCACAACCCCCACTTTCCTGCAACCCAAAATATCCCAAAACCCGAAGCTTCCGCCGCCTCCGCCTTGGGAGGACATCTTGGGAGTGCTGCCACTGCCTCTGGCGAGGAACGCGCTGCAGGTTCTCTGGCTCTGGCAGCGCCTCGGAGGCCTCAAAGGCGCCCCTCGGCCCAGTTCCGTGGAGGGAGGGTCCATCCCTTTTCCCCTTTTCGAGGTCCCAGTTTGGATTGGCTTTGACAGTTTCAAGACTCCTTCTGTCTTCTCAACGGGGATGATGGCAGCCGGCGGCTGAGGTCATCCTAGCCTTGGAGGGCGGCATGGCGGCGGTGCCACCGCCCTTTCCTGCATGGCTCACACCTTGCGGCAGCCTCCCACGTTCCTGGAGTTGAAGCAAAGTGTGGGGGTGTCTTTGCAGGGCTCAGTTTGGCTTGCTGCAGTGAAGCACCTAAGTTGGAAGCATGAGTCTAACGCTACCTCCTGACTTTTTGCAGAAGTTCTGGAACAGTTCGCAGACCTGCCAGAGCCGCCCAAAATTTGATTTACCTTCCCGCATCTATTCCAGGCACTGTCTTCATTTCAGAGTCCACGATCGTTTGCGCAGGGCTCCATTTGCTCCTTGGTGTCAATCTCGCGTTCACGTGGTGCCGCCTTGGGTATGTGCTACTTGTTGGAGACTCTCATGACCCTAATTCTCTGATCGAAAGCGGAAGCAGCTTGATTTGCTGTTGATTGCTCACGGGGCCGTCCTTTCCAAGCTGACTGAGGAGCAGGAACATCGATTCCTGGTTGCTGTTCCAGCCATCCGGATTGCTGGAAATCGTGGAGGGCGGATCCATCGACGATTGATAAACTTCTGCACAGAATGCAAACTGCTGGCCAAGCGTCTGCAAGACGGCCGCTTCCTCTTGCCCTGCATTCCTACCCAGCGCAGAGAGAATGCAGCAGACTCCCCTTTTATCCACGGTTTGCCTTGAGCCCACGATGTCACGCGCATCCATTGCCATCTTTTGGAGTCCGTCTGGGGTTCTGCAGGCTTCATCGTCCAAGCCACCTTTGGGGTCTTTCCACAGGTTTTCCTGAAACGGGCATAGCTCGAAAAAAGCGCGCCAAAGAAGCGCAGCATCACAATGACAGCGGAGATGTTCCGACGAGTCGCAGAGGCAAAAAAGAATTCGCTTGGTGGTCCCTTAGCGATGATTGTCACAGAATGTGTCAAAACAACCAGCCTCCACTCCCTCGCTTCTTGTTGACACTGAAGCCTTCTTTCCGACTTGGCAGTGTACAAGCCAGAGAAAGCGGGCATTGCGGTAGTGCGCAACTGTCTAGGTTCTGCAATCCCAACCGTGGGCCAACGCATGGTGTATCATGGCGTGCACATGCATCAGGTCTTCAACAGCCCACGCTTTGAGCCGAGCCCAGATCCCCTTGCCAAGCCCCAGGCCGATTGCGAGATGCAGCCGACGTCCCCTACGCACATCACACCCTCGCCGTCTCCGCCGCAGAACAGATCCCCTTCGTCGCGAGCTGGCAACTGGCTGTGTTCTGTGGAAGTTGATCCAGAGACCTCTTGCTGAAGGGCTCTCTTAGGTGGGAGTGGGATGAAGTGGGGCTGAGGGCTTCGACGAAGTGAGCCCTGTCCTGCCAGTGTGCCGAGGTCAACGACGGGGGACCTGCCTGACCTGACGCAGCGTAGAGCCGGCCTGCTTTAGTGTGTTTTGCTTCTGACAATTCGCAGGGGGCACACCCCCCCCATGCACGGGCTGAAACGAAGGTGGCGGTGAGGCGTGAGCATTCTGCCAACAAAACCGCATACAAAACGGGCAGAAGGACATGGATGTGATCGTGGCAGGGATTATGTCCATGGGACTCTACGAAGAGTATCAGCTGCTGGTCTCAAAGTTTCATTTTCTCAATGCTTGGACTTCGTCGTAGTGCTCCTGAGACGGGCCGAAGCCTGGGCTGGGTTGTGCTGAGCCCCAAGGAAGTTCCGTGCCGGCAACGCGCAGTGGCGCCGGGGTCTGGCCGGCGGCGCACGGGGAGAACTCACCGCCGAGGCCCAAAACAGGGTGGGCTGTGCATCCAGAGGGGGCAGCAACCCGCAGGCCCTCTCCACGGAGGAGCGCAGGACCAGGACCTCCGAATTAACAGGGATTTCTCTGGCAAAGGCGGGCTACTGGGCGATTGGTGCCTCTTGAGAGTCGTCCCATGATACTTCCTCAAATTCTGTTCGACTTCACCGAGGCTCGCCGGATGGGTCGTGCAGTTCGTGCCGGATGTTTTTTTGAGACCCCTGTGTTCGTGGGATTGCCCCGGCTGCATCCGGCTTCGATGGATCTTTTCCAATTTTTTGATTCAATCCGGGGCAACAGTGATAGTTCTGGCATTGCGGCTTGAGGCTGTGTTCGTTCGGAGCGGCGCAGGACGTTCATTCAATCCTTTTTCCCTTCTTTCGAAGCTTGGCACTGGCGCCGAACAGCTTCCTACTGGACTTTTGGCCGAAAATTCAGCTCGATAGGGAAAAAGTAAAAGACATGAAAAGAAGCCGACTATATATATATATATATATAAATTAAGAAATAGATAAATAAATAAATAAATATAAATAAACATATATATATATATATACACATACACATTGGGTAAGCTCGAACGGAATCGGCTGGGAGTCATCGAGAGATGAGCCCAGGATCGCCATTTTCTTCACGGAGGGGTCACTGCTTTTCGTGCTGGGAAGCTGCTTCGGCTACGCCGGGGACAGCAGCCCGGCAAAGGTTTGGGCACCCGAATATCTGTGCGAAAGTTTGCTTGATGCACTGGTAGATGAACTAGCGAGATCACTTAGCTATGCATACATGTACCCACACGTTCATGTTTTGTGATAGACAACCTGGCAAAGCCATCTTAGCGAAGCTCAAGAAGCAGCGCAGCCTCTCGCTACCTGTTCATGCCGACGTCAGCGTGGGCATACATGCCCATGTAAACATAGAATAGTGACGCACTTCAAGTCGCTGCACTGATTTTGAGCCGTTTTGGCACAGTCGAGGGTTTAGGGCTGCAGGAACTGCGAGACGCGCGTGGGCTCGACATGACGGAGGACACGAATCCGGTGTCCTTGGACATGCCGATTTTCGGCGATGCTGCATGGGAGGAGAGGCATGCGTCTTCGGCGGCCGGCAGCAGCTCAGCATGCCCGGCATCGGCAGTGGCAGCGACGCAGCTGGATCCCACGCAGATGGACATGTCAAGTTCACAGGAGTCGATGCTGAACCCGGAGCCACCAGCACTGGGAGGATCCGTCTTCGAGACCCCCCCCCGAAGTCGCCAGCTCCCGGTCGCTGAGATGACCACCGAGGTGCGGGACACGATCCCTGCTGCTTTCGAGACGCCGCCGCGAACTCGCCAGCTCTCGCTCGAGGAGCTGCAGACCCCTGAGGGGAAAGTTCGCCTTCGCGACACCCCGGATTCGGGGGAAGCGAGGAGCAGCGAGATCAGAGGAGTGCTGAGAGCCTTGGCCGTGACTTCCTCCCCGGCCGCTTCACCTGTTGCGTGCACGGACCCATACCTGCATGCAGGTGTGGCGGCCGAGGCTACCGTGGACGACCAGTCGGCGGAGATCCCTGTCGAACAGTTCCAAGACAAAGCTGTGCACACTCTGTCTGAGCTACCGGATGAAACAGGCCACATCCTAGCTCTGGTTTACCAGCTGTGCCTATGCGAGACTGAACAGAAGGGCGTGCTGCTGAAGAAAGGCGTGCTGTCATCCATAGTGGAGAACATCATCCTTGGCTACAAGAACAACTTCGATCGTGCCCGGCTGGACAACAACAGGCTCAAGTTGAATGAGTGGATGCGGAAGCAGTTGGTACCGGAGCGAGCTCAGTGCACGTCCGTGATCCTCAGTCTTCCCGAGGAGGCCCGTGTACCGTGGCGACCTGTGCTCGTCGAGCCGAAGAAGGAGCTTCGTGTTCGCGGCTTCGTCAAGAAGAGGCTGCAAGGGGAGTAATTCGCACATAGCCGGTTCTACGACATAGCCGTGTACCGCACATAGCCGCAGCACTCTCACATAGCGGGTTCTACGACATAGCGCCTAATCTCACATAGCCGGATTTCGCACATAGCCGCATTACCCTCACATATCGCTAAGCCGCACATAGCCGCTCCTGCCGACATAGCGCCGGATGACCCTCATAGCCGCATTACCCTCACATAGCCGATGCATAGCGCCTGATCTCACATAGCGCTAAGTCTCACATAGCCGGTCTTCTGACATAGCCACATAGCGCCTGATCCCACAAGCTCACATAGCCGGCTTTCCTACATAGCCGCATTTCGCACATAGCCGTTAATCTCGCATGGTTACACAAGTCTCACATAGCCACATACCGACTAATCTCACATAGCCGGATTTCGCACATAGCACCTAATCTCACATAGCTGGATTTCGCACATAGCTGGATTTCCTGCACAGGCGTATCTCCCCACATAGCCCCATGTCTCACACAGCCCGTCTGTCTACATAGCAGTAATTCGCACATAGCCGGTTCTACGACATAGCCGTGCACCTCACATAGCGCCTGATCCCACATAGCGCTATGTTGCTGCGCGCAGGCCCGCGACCACGCCCGCTCCGGAGCTTCCGGAAGCCTTGGACCCGTACCGCTTGGTGTCGTTGCTCATCCCTGGAGACTTGCAAGATCCACGGGACCACGTCCACACATGCTTCCGGCCCATGAGGGCCTTGGAGGACCACCCTTTGGCCTTCGAGCACCACGAAGACTTCTTGTGGAGCATCCTTCCTCTGTGCACTCCTCCTGCAGATCTCGAGACGTGGGCCACCCGCTTCCAGCAGCTGTCCCGCACCGACCGTGCTAGCAAGATCTGGGGCTCCTTGAACAACCACGTCTGTGAGCTTTTGGGAAACAGCCGTTTCTGCAGCCTCGGCAACAAGTTCGACGAGGTAGCACAAAGCCTCGTGGCCTGGGCGAACGAAACGGAGTCGCCGGGCCTTGGATTCGTGCATATCCTGGTCTTTGACCGCTACATCAAGGTGGGCAAAACAAGCGTCCTTCTCCAAAGCAAAGGCGGGCAACGTGAGCCCAATCTGATTCCTAGACTCCGGAACTACATGATCCATGCGCTCCTCCAGAACGCCACTCTCGTGTATGCTCCCATTATCCTGGTGGCGACGAGTCCTTACAAAGCGGATCTGGTGGAGAGTTTTATTCACCTGCACCTGCGATTCCATCACAGCGACATATGCATGGATGTCTCTTCTTCCTCAAAGCAGTCCGTCGGTCAGGAGACGTACTCAGTCGAGGCCTTGCATATTGTCATGAACAGTGTCAATTTAGCAGCAACGAGGACAGTGCAGCAGCTTCTGTCCGGCAAGAACAGCTTGGTTCAGTTGCGCGCACTGCAAATCCGCGGCCGGCCGATCACCAAAGATGAGCTCAATGACAGCCTGTCCTTGTAGACCATAGCACCTTGCCCCGGAAACGAATTCACACGCTGCACTCCGAACGAAGTGCCTTTCTTGTCTAAGAGCATGAGCCACTCGAGGAGGCTCTCGTTGTACAGAGATCCGAGCCGTGCGGATGGCCTTTGAGGAGCTGGCCCGAATGGTCAGAGAGCCCGCTGTGCCATAGAGCAGTCAGAAACGAGTGAGGCCTCCTTGCTTGTGTGTATGCGATGTCTTGCACATCCGTGCCCACATATATGCTATGTCTATGCATGTGTGACTGTATGTATGCTTATTTATGTATGCATAGGTGAGTAGGTAGGCAGGTCGGTAGGTGGGCAGGTAGGTAAGCTGGTACATGCCTACGCAAGAATGTATGTAATTATGCCTGAGTGCAGGCAAGCAGGCAAGCATGTAAGTGGGGATGGATGTATGCACTTATGGATGTCTGCATGTATGCATGCATGCCGGCATGCATGGAGGCAAGTGTGCATGTGCATGGATGCCCCTGTGCTTGCCTACCTGGCTGCCTGCCTGCATGATTGCATGCATGCATTCAATGGGTGGATGGATGAATGGATGGCTGGATGGATGGATGGATGGATGCGCATTCGTTTGTCAATTTGTCTGCCACTGTATCTGCGTTTTGGAAACAGCGGTGTATCGTATATACCGTGTGTGTGTGTATATATATACACATATGTGTGTGTGTGTGCGCGTGTGTGTAAGTGTTTGTCTTCGTGCAAGTCGGAATTTGGTGTTGCGGCTGTTGCTGTTTCAGTCGGTTTGTTGCAGCACATGTGCTGTTCGGAAAGCATCTGCGGCAGTCTTTGGGAGAAACTCAGTAGAGCTTGTAAGCCTTGACAGCAGGGACCTGGAGGTTCAGCCGAGCTGACAGCGCTCACTGCCAAGAAGCCTCGGAGTATCGGCTAGGTTTTGATCCCTTTGGTTCCCCAAGGAAAAAAACAGTACATGTCGAAGACCAGCGCCAAAAATGGCAAAGTCCGAGAGTTGAACCCCCCGAGTGCTGCTGAGGCGGATGGCGGGCCAGCAGCAGTGCACACGTCAACGCACACCTTGTGAAGGCGCTGGTTGCTCAACCTTCTCTTTGCTAGCATCCGTGATCTGGTTACCCATTATGTTCTACGTCAAGTACGCGACGACGACTACTAGTACTACTGCTGCGGCTACTGCTGCGGCTACTGCTGCTGCTGCTGCTGCTGCTGCTGCTGCTGCTGCTGCTACGAATTACCACTACCACAACTACGACGACGACTACTACTGCTGCTCCTAGGAGGGGTGCGGTATAAGTAAAGATAAATATAAATAGATATATATATATATATATAGCATTGAAACTGCAGAAACCCAAACTCACCAAAGAATCTAAACCACAATAAACCCTCAAGCCCTGCAAGTATGTAAAGTCAGAAATCCACTTTTGAGCAGATCCATCATTGCGGTTAGGATTCGTATATATGTCGGGTTCATAAACGGGTCCATTCCTACTGCGATATCCGCTTTCACCACAAGGGTTCGAACCGCACACCTCAACATCCACCTTGAGCATATTTATATACATGCATTTTCGAGCTCAGTGCTGGTGATTGCTTGCTGCGATCATAAGAATAGGACTGGCAGAACTTTGCGAGGCGCTGAGCGTTTGGCCTTCCCTCTTTGGCTCCGTTTTCTTCAGCTGCGGGGCGATTCTCATGTGCCTGGAGACCATGCTCCTCGAGCGCAGAGCAGATGAACATCAGGGGCATTAGCCGGCAGCTGGCAAGAATGGGATTTGACAATAGAAGGGGCCAAAACGGAATGGTTGCACGAAGAAAAAGAGTTGCATCAGCAGAAATCACCGCAAGACCCCGGCAAATATGGAGAGATCCAAGCCTGGAGATCGCAAGGAATGTCATGCGCCCGGTTGGCTCCTGGACCTTCCGGATCTTTAGCTTCAAGTCGATTTTCGCTGCTTGCCGAGATTGGACAATGGACCGATCCGCCCCGACGTGTACCTGTACTTCCCTACTTCTCCTGCAGAGAGAGAGCCCGACAAGTTGAAACCCAAGGTACGTGCTCCCTGTGCCGTTTCTGAGGCATACTTGGACAGCTGCAACACAATGAATCACGAAATTACCAGCAGCTCGGACTTGGAAGGTTTCAGTGTGGGGTTCAGGCTAGTTTGGGCTGTACGATTCGTGGCGCGGATCGGAGTCTGGATTGAAGGCCCGCTGGTTTCGGCAGGTAGGTCTTTGTTGGATATTCGGCAAGTGCCCACATCCTACTGACTGTAATTCGGCTGATGCTGCTATCCACAGACCGGTTTCCGACCAGGGCAAGGTGGTTGGGCTGGCTTTTTTCGTTGCATGGAGTCTGGTCCTCTTCGATCTGCCTAGCCTAGGAGTGCCGTACTTGGCATCCATGTCCTACTTTGCCGGGCCCCCAGTGGCTGCCTCCTGCGGAGTAGGCTCAAGGGCTTTCCTAGGTAACATGCGCGCGAGAGATCTCCTGCTAGCACGGACAAGAGAGGCCGAATTTCCGCAACACATAACCCTAGGTTCAGCCCGAAGGTTCATTTCTGGGTATTCATGCCACAAGGTCGGCACCTGTATCTACCCCATTGCCGTGATCGCGAACTTATATCAGCACCTGAATCCGGACATGGAGCTGCTGCCTGGCCGTCGGATACCGTGTGGGCGGTATGCATTTTGACATCCAAAGCCAAACTCCTAAACGGCTACGACTCCCGCAAAAACGGCAGCCCCAACGAACTTCCTGGAATTCCTCAGGCTCTTCTCGACGATCCCTTACGCGGCAGGAGGCCTTGCAGATTCACGGGCTTGGTTGGTGAACCTTGAGCTCTGCAGGGCTTGACCGGAATCCTCACATGGGTCAGGAGCCATGTACGATCTCGGCTCACAAACGGGTTCCGACCTTTGCTATCCTTCTTTCCTTTCGATTCGTTCTATCTCTGTATGTGCCTCTGTCTCTTACGTCCGTCCCGACTTGCCTGACTGCCTGGCTGTCTGGCTCTTTGCTTTCTACTACAGACGTGCATGCATGCACGATTGAGTACATGCATACAGCACAGATACATTTACATGCACGCATGCACACACATGCATACATCCATCCCCTCTCTCCCTCCCTCCCTCCCTCCCCACCCATCCGTCCATCCATCCATCCATCCACCCATCCATCCATCCATTCATATCTGGGTATCTACGTACATTTTTGCCCATACCTATCTATCTGTCTATCTATCCATATATTCACACGTAAACACACACATATACATATACATATACATATACATATACATATACATATACATATACATATACATATACATATATGTATATATATATATATATATATGAGATACATACGTACATCTATGTATCTACTGTACCTGCGCGCCTACCTACCTATCCAACTTACGTATGTGAAGCTTCTTCTCCCTCCCTACTCCAGCCGGAGGCATCTGCTTCGGGGCCGGAGGGTTCCTGGAGTGCATGGAGAACAAGGCCCAAACGGCTTGGGACAGATCTTCGGGGTTTTGGAATCGTTCGGGGCATCCTTGTTTTGATTTGAGCTCATATGGCCAGTGCTGCTATTATTACTCGTCTAACGATAACAGGAACGGCAAATAGAGACAATTTTTGGAGGAGCGTCGCATTGGAAATACCTTCTTTAGCTGGCAACAGGGTCAAGAGTGCCGTAGCTCCGTGATTTTTCTCTGTATTCTGGCATTGGGCAGCTTGTTCTTGCTCTTGTAGACTTAGAGAGTCCTTGCAGGTATTCTCCACCTGGGATGTGACCCTTCCGAAGACAGCGCCTTGTCGCTTCTGAGGTTTCCGTGGTGCCTGGTTTACATCGGAGTTCGGGTTGGGACGGACAAAGATGGCGTTCGCGACATGACACGACTGCTTCAGCTGCAGAGGGTTCTATTCTAACCAAGGCTGCGCTGATGAACTTCATAGGCGCAACATGCACGGATATTGATGCTTGCTTTCGGTGGGTCTCGGTGATGTATGGCCTTGTGCCCTTCTGCCGGCTGAGTTTGGGCACAAGCCCGGCATGAGTTTGGGCTCGGGTCTCGGGGTGGGGGGTCGGCTTGCAAATCAGAAGAGAGTTTTCAGTGAAGGGTGGGCCGCAGTTGGAATTTGTGTCTTCTGGTACTTGTAGAGACAAGTTGAACTCCCCCAGCAGCAGCCAAGAACAAGCTTGACCCAGCCCAACCGAAACGCCCTGAAGCCAGACGTTTGAGCAACTCGTCGACGCTAGGCGGACTCTTGTTCGCTGTCGGCGGGTTCGTCTTGCAGCTGGGCAGACAACACCCAAGCGACAGGGAGGTAACACAAGATGCAGGGTGGCACCGGCCGCACCCTGTTCACGCCAAACCCCAATAGCTCAAAGCCTTCAAGCAGCGCTGCTTGCGACAACGCATAGGCTGCTTCAGGCAGCGTAAAAACGTCTTGATGCCCCAACCTGTCATTGTCTTCGAAGCTCGCGCTCCAGACTCTAGACAACACATGCCCTAAACCGAAGCAGAGGTTCTGGCCCCACCAGGGGGCGCAGAGCAACTTACTCTTCGCGGTTGGGTCGGTCCTTTACACTGTGGCGAGCAGCCTCTCAGTGCCTCGTTTGCAACGAAAGACTCAAGGGTAAGAGCGAAAGAGTAACAGTTATAAGCAATCCAGTTTTTTGTGCATGAGTTCACGTGGGTGCACGGTCACAAGGGCGTCAGAAGAAACAACACGTCCAACATCGGCCACTGTCTGTCACCGTGTATTGCGCTCGCTTTTGGTGTCTTCTTGTGGTCGTGAAGAGGAACCGAGCCCATCCCCATCCCCCCGTCCGCCCCAAACAGAGCAAGGCGTGGAAAGGCACCCCGATCCCTCAGCCAAGCTGAGGTGATTATGTGGAAGGACCGAGCCCTGGCACTGTATGAGGGGGGGGGGTGTTTCAAGTCTCACAGCGACAGCCCTGGCGGCTCTTTCTCAGAGTCCCCGAGCCCGAGCCACCGCGCGCGCTGCCGTGCCGTAGCCCGAAAATCTGGGGGCCATGGCTGGGCCGGGCCCGGGCCCGGACCTGCTTGTGCGAGGTGTTGCAATCCGCGGGTCAGAGCGACGTGGGTCTCCGTCTCCGTCCCGGGCATCTCCAGCTCCAACGCCTGAGCTTGCTGGGCCGAGAGCTTCGCTGGCTCAGGTGGGCAACTTTGGAAGCTGGTTCCGCGTCTTCACCCCCGGCTTTGCGCACACCCTCTTCATGTGCGAGGACCCCGAGGTCAGCACGACTCAGATCCATGTCGCCAGCTTTTGGGATGAAGAGTTCGACTACACGGACACTGTGCGATGGCAGAAGCGCATCCTGCGCTGCACTCCAGCCCTCGGCCCGTATGCTGGCAAAGAACAGCGCTTCGAGTGTGACGAGCACCCGGATCAGGTGAAATGGTGCGGACGGAGCCTCTCTTGCGAGCGATGCGGGCCGGGCGAGGAGGGCCGCACGCGCCTGGTGCGGAGCTGCCTAAAGCTGCTGCTGGGCCAAGAGGGCGCCCAGGGGCGCGCTGCCCCGGAGGCGCTGGCGCGGGCCGCTCTGCTCCCCGGCGCCGAAGGCATCGCCCGAGGCCTCGGTTGGCGGGAAGCCGGCCTGAAGCAAGCAGCCGGTCGAGTGCAAGGATTCCTGACCGGTCACATCCATGTGGAGGTGCAAAGCCTCGAGGGTGCCACCGTGCAGTTCCAGCTCCCTGAAAATGCAAGCTGCGCCGAGCTTTACCATGCCACTGCCGCCGCCTTCTTTCAGGCCGGACACATGCAGACTCGGGAAAATTTCGTGTTGTCCACAAGGGATGGCTCGGCAGTCTTAGATGTCTCGCCGAACGTGGAGATGGATCAGCCCGCATTGAGGAGTGCGCCGGAAGGCCGGCAGTTTCTGAGCGACTTGAGACAAATCGCGCAAGACGCCACCAAACCGGAGGACTCTGACTTCCCATCCTCTGTAACTGTAACAGTCATTGTGCATGATCTTTCCGGGGCACTTCTGGCCGAGATGAGATTGCCCGGCGATTCGGAGGCAGCGGACTGCAAAGCCAAGCTTCGTAAACTGCTCTCGCGTCACGAGCCGGACGAGTGTATGCATCTGGTGACGGAGAATGGCCAGCATTGGGAGGATGCAGAGATCCTGGCACCCTTGCTAGACCTGGGCCAGGCAAAGACGGCTCGCTTGACGCTCGTTTGGGCCTCGGCCTTCCAATACGTCGTCGTACCCCTTGAGAGCGAGGCTCGTGTTCTCGCTGGGCGCGGGGTCTTCCGTTCACCAGCGGAGCTACCAGCGCGAGAGCCCGGCGTGAGCCGTGTGGGCTTCGCTCTAAAGCGTGGCACGGGCCCCGACGCAGGCGATCGCGATCGATGCCGGGGAGCCCAGAAGCTTCGGGGTGTGCGAGCAGGACACGGCATTGCAGGGCCGGCGGATGTGCGGAGGCTGCTGGAGGCCCTTCCCGAGCTGGACGACGATGATGCCGCAAAGCCGGGCGCTGCACTGCACGTCTTCGAACTGGGCCCAGACGTGGTGCGGATGGTAGCAAACCTCACTTCGGACGGGAATCAGGTGGGTGGCTCCTACTACCAAGTCGTGGTCCCTGCCCAGGCCAGTAGCTGCCTCCTTCGGTCCTTCCTGGCAGAGTGCCTCTGCCACTCTTCTGGGACATCGAGCCGCCTCGCCATCTTCGGGGAGAAGTTCGAGGCCGTCGGCTTCAGAGACTTGCAGGAGTACTTGCGGCAGTGGCCCGATACCAAGGGTTTCACACTGAGCCAGTAGCCGCGAAAAGAAAGAGAAGTGGCCGGACTCCTCAAGGGTGCGAGGGCCTAAGCCCCAAGTGTCTCTCTGCGAACGGACCTGGGCCCGATGTCTTCGGTTTCAACATGCTTGAAGCCTTGTGGCAGCTTCTCACAATAGCTTTTCAAGGAACCCTCAGAAGGATCACCTGGACCTGGTAACCAGAAGCCTTACTGTACAGGGGCCCCCAACAGGGCCTTGGTTTTTTCTCTGCAGCCGACGAAATATTGCAGGACGAGCAGTTCGGTCTGGCGTACCTAGCCGCGCTCAACCACATGGGCGGTCAGGCCCGCTGTTGCTGAGCACTTTGTGGCAAAATTCAGAATACGGACAGTCGTCGCATCTCTGAACTTTCTTCCTTGGGGGGCTTGGCTCCTGACTCTTTCAGATCGAGTCCCCCAACCCGCGAGAGCCTCCCGCCCCCCTTGAAGTGCACGCCGGAGGCCCGAGGCACTTCCTTCATTGCTGGCAACACGCCGCCGGAGTCCCGCACCTTTTCGGACTCTTGGCCGCAACGGGTGGTGGCCGGTCGTCTTCACATCGACAGGAAAGGCTTCCACATGTTCGGGTGTGGTTCGGGAGCTGCGTACAACTGACATCTTACAAGTTGAGTCCCCAAATGTTGTGTTTGTACCAGTCAGAGTCGAGCGTGCAAGGGCGGGGGGCCTTTGAAAGCTTTGTACTTTTCTTCCAAGCCTTTGGGAAGCTGCCAGCCCTTGCAGAGAACGGCCGTCACGATTCGTTGACTTCCTGCCGCAATAAAGACCGAGGTACGCGGCATTGTCTTCATTCACCTCTACTGCATCGTCTCCGTTGTCGTGCCGCGGCAGAGACTTGTGAGGCTTGGGTCGCTTTTTGAACAACCTGGAACCCTGTCCCTTGCACTTGCAGTCCATCCTAGCCGCTGGACCGGAGAGATTGAGCCTAGGCCGTCATGAACTTTTGCTTGGCGCTCAACCACTTCATGGCGTTGCCGGCCGTAGACACCTTGGCCCGTGCGGGGAATGCCTCCCGGCCAAGTTAGTCTGGTCAGGAGAGAACGGACCAGAAGGCTTCATGGCTTTGGCGAAATAGCTTGACACTTCGCTGTCTGGTTCCTATTTATGCATGCCTCGTTGTAGGCAGGCAGCAGTTGTTGCAGTTCGCAAGCCCCATGCCAGCGGCTTGTGGACCCGCAGAAACTGCAGCTTTGTTTCGGCCCGCAAAGATACATGCATGCACGCACATGCATGCATACATGTGTACATACTAACTGATTTACAAACCCACAAACAGACATATACCTATACATACATACATGTTAAAAAAATATGCATGCACGTGCGCATGCTTACAACTTCACGGGCGCATATGTTTATAAACGTACAGACCCGGCTGTTGTTATCTGATTCATACATGCTCGAACGAACACCCTGGCCTTCTTCCAGCCTACTTGGATCTCCGAGGCCCGAGGCCCTTTGATTCGGTGAAATCTCGCAGCTCCGAGGAATTCCTGCCCTTCCTGTGGCTGCACATCGTCCTGCTCATCCATTCTGCAGTCGTCAAGACGCCGAAGACACAGCCCTTCCATGTGGCTGTGCGAGAACCAGATTGGGGGTTGTGGGTCCGTGTGAAAGGAAACATAGTTCTTTCCTTTTTCATTGTAAACGACGTTCTCCCTTGCGACCGCATCACGAGGCGGTGCTCATGGCCATGCGATGTGTTACCGTCGCTTCTCGCCGGCATGCAGATATCCGGGGTGCCACAGCTGTGTGGCCGACTTGGAAGGGCTTCAGAAATCTGTTGAACAAGGCTGAGGCTATGGCAAGAGGACTCAAAATCATTCAGGGCATGCTTTGGTATCGCTCCTGATTCAGCAGTGCAGTTCCGCCGCATCTTGCAACTCCACTAAGAGAGCCAACAGAACAGAGCGGTGATACAGGCTCCTGGCTGGAGGCTTGGAGTTTCGGTTGGGGTCACCTGTCGAGGTCATCATGGTCATGGCCGTGGCAACGTTCGTGGCAGGCGAATCGGCATCGGTCGGAGTGGTTTCTGTCCAGGGCGGGGATGCGGCCCTGGCCACGCGTGGCTCCGAAAGGCAGACGGCCTCAAAGCCCTCGGCTTGGGATCTCCAGAAGCTTAGCGCTATTGTGCTGGGTCCTCAAGAAAATCTTCCTTCAGAAACCGAAGCACTCCCTGGCTTGGCTAGTCCGGGAGTGAGCGGCCACACCCTGAAACGACACGCTTCGAACTTCAACGCCCTCCTTTACGAAGCACCTCGCACTGCGCGAGAGGTCTCATGCACCCGCCGCCGCCTCCGCTAGACCCATTGGACGCTCCGCGGCTACGTGCTCCCTGGAATCGCCGCTGGGAGGGGGCCGATGCTTCGAGAAAATGTAGCAGTGGCTTGCAGTGCTTTCTGGGTAAGCTCTCCGACCGAATACGAGGGGAGTCCAACATGTATTCTTGGCTTTCCGTACATGTGTTTATGCACACGCATGCATGGATTGTAGAGCAAGGACCAGTCGGGACTGCGGTGTGGAGGCAGTACTGGAGATCGTTGGAGAAAGGGGTTACATGCACAGACGGGGGAACTTGATCACCCCAGCACCCCAGGAAGGGGCAAGAGCACAGATTTGTCAGACGCGGGCCAGGGGGCCTCGGCCCTCCCGTCAGCAAGCAAGCAAGCAGGAGCGAGGTAGGCTTGCAGGCAGGCTAGGCCCCGGCTAGGCAGGCAGATTCTTAGATAGGTCGGGCTGCGGGGCAGTGATGCAGGTGCCTCCCACCAACAGCCGAACTATCCGTCAGAAAAAAACCAGGGTTCCTCAAGCTGCCGCAAAGCTCAGGACAGCCCGGAGCTTCATGACCTGATGTACCCATGGTGAAAGATCTCACTTTGGCCTTGCAGTCAACCGCCGAGGGGCGGTAGCTTTTGATTCTCCCACATGCATGCCCTCCACCTTTGAACTTACGACAATGCTACAAGTAGTAGCTGTGGCCAGCTCTGGAGCATGTTCCCTTCCACGGTTCGGCAAGATGCTGAAACTGCGCAGTGCTCCCCAGAACGCAAAGTAAGACAGTTCAAGGGTGGAGGCTTTTGCATCAACCCAGCTCTCGCAGTAGCTTTGCAGCTGAGGGGCTTGAGGGGTTGCTCGCTAGTCCACCCCAGCCATGAAGGTCTTGTCCGTTCGGAAAGGGCAACCTCCAACGATCCTTTGCCAGAGTTTGCCGAAGGCAAGATTAAAGTGATGCCACTGCAGCATGCACGGCCATGAACCCCTGAACACATCGATACTGAGCTCCACATCTCATCGAAATCTTATTGCAGTGGGGCACAGGATTCTTTGACGTGAACAGGCAGGCATCTGGCTTGCAGACGCCTGCCCAGCAAAAAGAGATCTTCTTGAAGGTGGAGGGATTTGTCTGCTGGCTCGCGTTCGGATGCTGGTGATCACGACTCTTGTGAAGGGCAAGCGTGCTGTCTTGATGACCTTGTGGCTCGTGGTTCTCGGGCTTCGTGCTTGTCGAGAACGCCGCGACCCATTGCCGGGCCACAGCCATTGCTATAGGTGAACATTGAGCCCAGGGATCTGAAGCAGAGTCCACCCATTCCTTAAACGTCGACTCTCAAGCCTGAATGGCTACAGTACATGTTTATTGCAGGCCAACCCGACTCTTCACCAAAGGGCAGCATCCGTGCCTCTGGGCCTCGAGCCCGTGCAGGTAGCACTTTGCCAGCTTCCTCCGTATGCAGCCATGAGCCGTCTGAGCCGTGTACTGCTCCTTCTGATTTTCCAGGCGGGGGGCCTGGCTCGGGGCTGAAGTGTGGGTTGATAAAGTAAACGCAACGCCACGTGGCTGCAGCCTTACAATGAGACATCGGCAAAGTCTTTGAGTCCTCCGAAGAGCCAGTAAAGGTTTTCATTCGATTTCGATTGGTGAACGCCTGTAGTGTCCGTTCCTTGCCGTGGCTGTGATGTTTCTGCCGTAGCGATGGATCACTTGTCGACGTGAGCTTAGAAACTCATTATGCCTGGCGTGCTGCGATCAACCGACCGAACGAGCGCAGCGGCTGCTGCTGTTCAACAGTTCGCAGCTTCCAAGCACCAGTCCCGAAGCTCTCTCTGCCAGGGAGCGGTCGGAAAGCCTCGGAAGCTGTTTGAGATCGGCTCCAATGACAAGGCTTTTTTTTCTGGGGTGGGGGTGTTTTTTGATTGGGAAGACGAAGAGCTGAAGCCTCCCGCAGGAGGTGGGCCTGGACCCTTTCTACGAGGGCAACATGGAGCCCTGGGGTGCCGTGTGCGTCGGCTACGTGAAGCAGGCCAGCACCCACTCCCCTCCCACTCTCGATGTCGGACAAGATGTGTCGCTCCGTAAATGGCGAGGCTAGGAGAAATAGAGATCAAGAGCAACAGAGACAGCGAGGGAGTTCTTTACATTGACGTGCATGGAGAAGGGGTTGCCTGTAGCTGTTGCGGATGACATCTTTTCTTTGCCTAGGATCCGCGGGGGTGCATGCAGGACTCACCGAATCATCGGCTGCTGCAGAAGCTGGGGGCCAACACTGCAGAAGATGCGGTCGCCCGGGGGGGCTGGGCACTGTTGGTGTTCCGGTGTGCAACGGATGGGCTCCTGAACGGTTTTCAAAGTCACTTCTGGGCCGCTTGTGCCTGAAGTTACCACCCTTCGTGGCTGAAGCCTGGATTTTCTAGAAAGCCAAGTCAAGTGCTGAGCTATAGCGGGCTCCAGGAACTCTGGGACCTGCAGATTCCCATGGCTGCCGTTATCGACTGGGAAGAGGAGGAATCCTTGCAGAGCCTCGGCAGGATCCCAAAGAGTCGGTGAGGCGGTGGATGCTTCCGGCGGAGCCCAGGATCGTCAGGCGGAACTATGCCGCCAGGCTCTGGGAGATGTTGGAGCAGCCCCCCATGGATGCCGAGCCGGTTATCTTCGCAGGCCACTTGGGTGCACAGGAAATCCCAAGTTCGAGCCGACATGCTTTGCTCCATAGTGCGAGGGAAGAGCGGGAAGAAGTGGAAGGAGAAGGCGGGTCGGCCCGAGTGGCGTTTGAGATTTTACTGCAAGGCGTTGAAAAGCCTGGTCGAAAGTAAGGCCTTGAAGCACTTAGCTTCAGAGGACCCCATGCGAGAAAGCCCCAAGGTCCGAGGCATGTCGTAGGCATGTCCTCATAAAGTTAGAACGGGTGGCATACCTTCTTGTGCGCCTAGTTGCCGACCGCCTGCAGCCTGCAAAGCGGCTCCCTGACCCAGGAGGTTCGAGCCTGGCTACTGGAAAATGCATTCCCGACCATCAACTACAGGGTAGCAGGCTGCGGAAAAGAAAGCTGGGGTTGGAGTGCAGTGAGCGGCTGATGGAGACGTGGCGGGTCGAGGGTGAGGGCCTAGGGACCTGACCCCAGGTAAAGGGCCCGGAATCGGGTCTTCTTAGCTTCCTTCCACCTGTCCTCTTGTTGGTGGAGCCGGCAGGCTACCAGGGAAAGCAGAACCCCTTCCCCTTCGACAAGTACTTCGGCAAGTCAAACACTGGCGGCGTCGGCCTTGTCCTGGTGAAGATCAAGGACTGAAACTCCGACACCAGGTCCAGCGAAGAGGCGTGTTGTGGCTGGCGCGGTTTGTGTGAGCTCCACGGTTCTTGACCTAGGGTTTTTCAGAAGGTGCGGTTGAAGAGGGCCCATTCAGAAGAGGGCGTGAGAACGGCAAGACCCGAAGTGTAAAGCAAGGCAAAGCTCGGAGCTTGAGCTCTGCAACTTCTGGAGGACATCAACGACTTTGGTCCCCAATTTCGTGCGGTTCGCTACCTCCGACCGCACATGGCGGCTCGGCTGCCTCTAGCTACCTCTTCGTAAGTTTCCGACCGCTAGCTAGTCTGCAGCCCTCAGCCGTCAGCATCGGAGCTGTGCAGGAGAAGTTGAGAGGCAGGATCCGCTTTGCCGTGGTCGAAAAGACGGCGGCTGGGCCAGCAGAGATGCCCAGGGGAAAAAATATCCGTGTCCTCTTTGTCCGAGACGGGGATTAAGAACGGGAAGCGCGGGGGATGCAGGCAAAGACGCTCGAGATGAGGCGGGCTCTCAAAGTCGGGTCGCCCAGCCGCACTCGGATGCCGAAATGGCAGGAGCTGCCGTCGAGATGTGGCGTACAAGGGCAGAAAGTCTTGTAAAGTTTATATTACGGTACTTCAGCCCCTTTGGCAGTAGGAGGAGGAAGGGGAATCGGGAAGCGAAGAGATTAGACTCGTCCTCGCGTCGTTGTCGTGATGGTCTTTGTGTGGGGGTGATAGTTGTGGTGCTTGTTACTGTATCGAGGTAGTAGAGGTCATGATTGGTGTCAAGATGCCCCCCAGGCTCAACGAGAGTCTCGAGAGCGAGCTCATCCTCTTCAGCGACCTCGAGGGCTTGGGGGATCGGCCCGTGGGGAACCACTGGCATGGAAACCCTCACAAGTGCCCAAGCTGCCAGTTGAGGCGTCGAGTTTCAGGGTTCAAGGGCTCGGTGGGGCTTTTGGGGGGTGAGACACACAGTTATATTCGGTCTGAGAAGAAGCCCTGTACACCAAACACCAAGCCCGATGACTCGAACAGCTTCTGTGCGGAGCCTGCAGCTCCGAAGGCTCGCAATCCCCGAATGCCGCGAAACCATCCGAAACTGGAACTGCGCGCAAAGATATTCCGAGTACTATAGCAGGATGGAAGGCGTCTGTAGTTTGCGGAAGTTTCGGGTGGGGGGACAAGAGGAGAGAGCTTTTGTCGAAAGCGAGGTACCGGCTCACCGACCTGAGCGAGGAGTCTGTGAACGCCTTCTTTGAGGCACCGAAGAACAAGCACCGAAGATCAGAAGGAAGCATCAGACCCTGAACCTATGCATACTTCCACTGACTGCGAACCACAACAACTCACCTAGAGTCGAAACGTCAGTTCACCCTTCAGGCGTACTATGCCGGGAAGCTGCCAACTTACTGGGCGTCCCTGGACGAAGACCGCAAGGTGGGGCTTCCAGTCGCGGCCTGCGACCCCAATGAGGCTTTTCTGCACGGTTCGGTTTTGTTCCTTTTGTAAACATAGGCAGGCCAGCTGCATCGTGATGGGAGCTTGGCACACCCGCTGTTCTTGGCAAAACACAGCACCATCCAACTTCTCTGAAAAAGTAGTTCGGCAATAGAGGGATGACTCGATGGCTTCGCCGCGAGGCACCCGAGGATGGCGAGTTGGCAAGCTTCACGTTTGACGAGCAGGCGGGAACGCAGCCGGTACATTGCATAGCATGTGAGATCAGTAGAAGACGAGCTACTGCAGCACTTGGCCGCCAACGGACCTGCTAAAGGTTTTCAAAGCTCCGAAGAGAACGGGGACCTTGGCAGCGTGTCTGCAGGTGACAGGAACCTTCGGCCAGGGTCAGAACTGGATTCAACTAGAATTGGACATCGGTTCTTGTCCAGTGCGTCTCTGCTTCATATTTGCGTGCTGTTCAGTAGTTGGCCAGTGGCTTGCCGGCTGGCCCTAGCTTAAGTCGATGGCTGGGGCTCGAAGCTCAGCCCAGGTCGCCTTCTTCAACGATGCCAGCGTGGGCTGTGCCGACTGCGCGCGGGGCCGCGAGGCCTCCCCAGATTGTCGCCCAAAACTCCTGCAGCACGACACCCAAATCTGGAAGAAGCGCTTGCCGAGGTCGTCGAGCCTCTTGCAACTCGTCCGTTCTTACATTGCTCTGCTTAACCGCAGACCTGTGTGGCTTTGGCTGAAGCGCCCCGGGAACAGGTTCGACTTGCGTAGGCCCAAAGACCAAAAAAGGATCCCAGCAGTGATCATGGCTGCCGCGGCTGTGGAGGGGCAGTGGCTCATCAAGCTGGAGGCCGGCTGGAGCGCCTGGATCGTGGGAGAGCCCTGGTCGGAATCTGCAGAAACCGTAGCTAAAGCTCAGTTTACTTTTTTTATGGGTTGCGTTGTAAGGCTCGGGTCGTGGGTGGAGTGAGGGGAGTTAGGGCTTGGTCTCAGCTTTCAAGGAGCAGAAGTTCCATGGACCCACTGATCAGCCGTTCCGATACATGTTCGGCAAGACGGAGTTCCAGGTGGAGTTTCAGAGCGAGACCGAAGGCACTTCCATGAATCTCTCCACTGGCAAGGCCCGCCCCCTGTGCTTTGTACCAAAGGGCCAGGCACCACCTATGGAGGAGGGTGAGGAAGTGCCGGAGCCCCAGGCTCCGATGGAGTCGGACAGGCCCATGCAAGCCACGAAGGCCGACAGCAACTTGCCCACCTGCTGCTACCTCGCGACCAACAACACGGCATCCTATGAAGGTGAGTACCAGTGGCTCATTGAGTTGGAGAAGGGTTGGAGTCCATGGATGCCAGGCAACGAGCCCTTCGATGGCAGGACGGATGAGCCCTTGCGGTACACTTTGGGCAGATACGACTTCGAAGTGCACTTTGAGGATGAGAGCCATGGCACGCAGACGAACCTCACCAGTGGAAAGGTGCGTCGCATTCAACGTCTGCGAAAAGGAGAGCCAATGCCCGCCTGGGAAGGCACGGGCATCAGGCGGCGACCAGCAAACGGGACCGGAGCTGGCGACGTCGGCCTGGCACCCGCGGAATCTGCAGCCATGGCTGCGCAGTCCAACCGGGCAGTTAGACGCACTGGTGGATATCAGGCAGCGGCAAGCACGCAGAAGTTTGCCCTCCGCACATCCAAGCCTGCAGCAGCTGCAAGGCCACAGGTGTCTGAGGCTGCCCACAAGGCAACTTCCGCCGCTTCCGCTCCCCGAAGTCCCCCGCGAAGTCCCGCAGGAGCCGCGGCGCCAGCTTTGGGCCCGAACGGCACCGTCCCCCGCTTCATGCGGCCACTGAAGTCCAAAGCTTGAAAAAAGGGGCAAGATAGGGTTTAGGGAACAGTGTGGTGTAGTTCTGCAGCATAGTTTAACCATGTTTACCCATCGTTCTTAGAGCTTGAGGCATGGTGACCTCGCTTTGCTCAGGCAGCTGACCTGAGCAAGCGGAAAACATGTCTAGAGAGCTTCAACGTCCCGAGTTTTGACAACTGCAGCACTTGGACAGTCGTAGGATGTTCGAGAGCGTGCGGTGGCCTGTGGTTGCAGAAGGTACAAAACTTTCTGCAAGCTTTCTGCGCAGTTTATCGTTTCGGTGGCACTTCCTAGAAGCATGCAGCTGCCGGGCAACCTTGTACCAGACCAAGCGAACCAAAAGTGCGGAACAGTGAGTGTGCTGTCGAAGTTTGTCAGAGGTCGGAGAGGAGCACAGCAGCAGAGCAGCAGAGCAGAAGAGCAGAACGACAAACGGTGAAACTTTCACTGAAGTGCTCGGCGCTCGCAGGCCTGGCGGTCGGTGCAGAAAGAGGCGGGGCGTTTTAAAGTGGGGCTCCAGAGCAGGTTTGGGATCAGCTGAAAGCCCGCGTGTCCTCGAGCGGAGGTGCTTCTGACCCGGCGGCTGCGGGAGCATCTGCGCCTTTTCGCGCTGGACCAGCTCCGGGGATCTCAAATTGAACTTTCGGAGTTCAGTGGCTTCAGTGGCCTCAGACTTGGGACATTTATTCATATTTTTTTTGTTTTCGTCATTTGGTAAGTTTTTCATTATAATGGCTTGGTATTGTTGCGAATCTCCGTCAGGGAGTGCGTGCATGCTCATCGCCCCGATGAGGTCCCGCAACGAGCACGGCGAGCAGCTTGTTCCGGGACGCCTTGCCCAGCCGATGGCGGCGCCTTGAATTGTCTGGGCTGAACAGCTTTTACTCAAGAATGTTGCCATGCAGTAGATTCAGTAGATGAGGTGCTGCTGAGGTTGTAGATTGCCATCTTTCTCCGAGTGTGCTGGATTTGAGAGAACTAGAGTTGTCTATTTCCTGCTTTTCGTTCGTCAGGAGGTGTGGCTTAGCCTGGTGACTCGATGGAGTAGGTACCTGTACAGGGGAGTTTTGGAGCCTTGATGGGAAAGGACGAAAGCCTCGCTGTTTCTCATGGAGCCCCGAAGCGCCCATCGGTCCCAAAAGCTGTCAGCATCACGCTTCAGGTGTATTATCCGCCCGGCACAGCAGCTCAACGAAAGAAGCGGCGCCGAGTGACTCGACGCACGGTGTCATCAGCCCAACCTCTATCGAATTGTATTTTGCACTCCCGGGTCCAAATTCCCTTCCGACCTTTGCTTTGGTCCTTGGGCTTTTTGTCCTACATCCTGGATTTCGGTGATTTGTGCTGGGCAATCCTCGCTTCTGCGAGTTTCCCCGTCTCTCTCCAAAACGAGGTCCGTCGGGTTGCTGTGCCATAATGTACCACACATTCAAGACGAACACACTTGACGTTGCAGCTATCGGTATCGTGCGTTGAAGGCCCTTGGCCAAGAGTAGCCAAAAGGAGCCTCAAACCCCAGAAGCCTTGCAGGTGATGCACAAGATGAGTGAGCACTTCACGAAGGAGGGTATCCTCGAGGCCATGGGAGGAAGCTGTCGGCAGTATTGTCGGCCGCCGTCTCATCCTCGTAGTTTCTACTGTAGTCGCCGAAGTGTGTATTCGTCGCCTTCGCTGCTGCTGTAGCAGTAGCAGCTGCGGCGGGAGCAAGCGGTAGTGGTAGCACCGAGTCAGTGATGGTGTCGGATTATCGGCAGCAGCAGCAGGACAAGGACGAGGAGAAAGGGATAGCTATGGTGTCGGATTTTCACCAGCAGCGGCAGGAACAGGAAGAGGAGAAAGCTACCCACAATCAACGACGTCTCCTTGGCACTGTTGTTGGCCTGCTGGTACTACTACGAGTGGTCGTGGGACTGGTTGTGGCCGGGGTCGTAGCAGTGGCAGTGGTAGTGGTAGTACAAGTGGTACTGGTAGTAATAGGAGTAGTAGTAGTCGTCGTGTAGTCGTCGAGTAGTAGTAGTAGTAGTAGTAGTAGTAGTAGTAGTAGTAGTAGTAGTAGTAGTAGTAGTAGTAGTAGTAGTAGTAGTAGTAGTAGTAATAGTAGTAATAGTAGTAGCAGTAGTAGCAGTAGTAGTAGTAGTAGTAATAGTAGTAATAGTAGTAGCAGTAGTAGCAGTAGTAGCAGTAGTAGCAGTAGTAGTAGGAGGAGGAGGAGGACGAGGAGGACGAGGATTAGCAGCAGCAGCAGCAGCAGCAGCAGCAGCAGCAGCAGCTGCTGTAGCAGTAGCGGTGGTGTTGCTTCTGGTGCTGCCCTTCGGCCAGAGGTTTGAGACATGGGCTGCTCAGTGATCCCGAAACCTAAAAGCTGCAGAGCTCGGAGTTTTCATCAGGTCATCAACGACCTGCTGGAGGATGAGGACGAAGAGGGCGAAGGGGAGGAGGAGCTGTGACGAGGACCCGACGGGTCAGCTTCAGCATGGATCCTGGCATTCAGTTGCAATGGGATGTGTATGTTTGTTAACTATCGAGTTTCATGGGAGCGTGCCGCCCAAGCTGCGCTGGAGCCGCAACGTGCCGTCGCTCGTTCAAGACACTTTCGCGCGGCTGAGTGTGGCAGGTGGAAGCCGCATTACGAAGTGTGGTCGGCCCTGGTCTCAGGCAAGGAGAGTGGCTCAACCATGTTCAACCCTGCATTATATACGCGACACATCTTGCTTTGAAGTATCAATCTGTCTTCATGCACGAGCTCAGGCTCCTTCCGCGCAGACCCGTCCAAAGCGACGGATAGATAGTTTGTCCGGAGCATTCCGGCAGCCAGCGCCAAAGGGTTCTCTTGCCTGCTGGCTGCCACCCTCAGATGCTCCCCGGACTATCCCGTACCCTTTGGACTACTATCTGCCTCTTTGCCGAGCTTGGCTTTGCTCAAGGGGCAGGGCAGGGGGCGTCAGGAAGCACACTGCCAACCAACCTTTCAATGCTCGACGAGTTTTGGCCAAGGGAAGTTTTCAGGTTTCTTGCTGGCCAGGGCACGAGCCTTTGATTGCTCCATCGCGCTAGGGTTGCGCAGCTTGGAGGTTGCAATTTTTTTTTATGTGGGCCGTTTTGAGGGCTGGTGATGGCTGTCACACACACACACACACCACCCCCTTTACAAAACCCAACTCTAAACTCTTTAGACGCCTTACATCAGCAGGTTTCCTAACATGGTCCGACATGCCGGTTGAGCCACTCTGGCAGCTGCGCTGCGATGGTCCGGTTTGCGGCCTAGAGCAGCTGTGTGAGCGGCAATTCCATTCTCTGGGAGTTCTTCAAGCGCGGGTGTGCGAATGGACCGAGGCGCTGGGGGCCAGTCTTTGCAGAAGAGGCATCAGCAAGTACGTTCAACATCTGGCTTTGGGACGGTGTAGATGTGAAATGCCTTTGGAACCACGTGGCAGCTGGTATCCTGAGAACTGGCGGCGCAAGCTGCACTCAAGCAAAGTGGAAAGAACAACATGGCAACTGAGCCAAGGAGACGAATGCACCACGCTCTAGCCTCCGCAGCGAAGGCTCTTGGCAAGTGGGCGCTTTTTTGAGAGCCTCATCTCCTAGCCAGCCTTGTATGTTGCAGTTCTATTGCGTGTCACGCTGACGCAACTTTCTGTTATTATTTGCAGTGGCCACTCTTTTTTGGGAAGGCCTTGACCTACGCGCATCACCTGCGCAGTGTGGTTGCCGGTGTCAGAGACGCTTGCAGAAGTTGCAGTTGCCATGCGCAGGCTTCCATGTATCGTGCCTTTGTAGTAAGGGATCCGCTGCTATGTAGATTGTGGTGGTTACATGGTTTTCGAACGGACATCAACATGAAGAACATGTTGCAGGATTCTATAGTGTACCGGAGTTTCCAGCAACAGCAAACTTCAAACTACCACAATGCGGGGTATCACACCAAGGACGGCACAGTCATCGTCTGGGATGTGACCAGCGTTGCGGCGACGAGGGAGTTAAGCGGCGAGCCCAGCCGGCTTGTTAATATTAGCCACTCTCAAGACTCCTCTTCAAACCCTAAGTCGTATCCCTCCATGGGCGGTCCCTGTGTGAACCTTCTCTAGGCCCCAGGCTTGGTCCATGGAGTTCCACTTTCTTCGGCAATAGAAAGCATGATGGAAGCTGCTGCAGGGTATGGCACAGCTAGGGTACTTGCAGGCAGACGGCTAGTCTGAGTTGATGGGCTTGTTGATGCTTTGGCAAGGTTGTGGCAGTGCAGTTGCAGACGTGGACTACGCTGAGGCCATGAAGGCAGGGACGTGTCCGTCACCCGAACCTCTGCCAGATCAATTGTCAATGAAGGGGGTGAAGTCTGAAAGACGGCAAAAAAAGTTTCGTTTGTCGCGGCAAACCGCTCGGACGCAGTCCTGGGCAAATTGTTTTGGAGATCTGGGGCCGAGTGCGATCTTGCCCTTAGGGCTCTGCATCCTCCGGGCTCCACTGTAACGGCTAGCAAAGTACTTCCTTACGTTTCGCACCCTAGTGGTCATAACATGGACACTGCCGTATTGGATTTCATGATGGTGTTTCGCATCCCGCCAACACAAGCAAGAGCCGTGCAGTACGTGGACTGGCCGCTGCAGCATTTTTTAGTGACGAGGCGACACAGCCGTGCCCCTCCACTTGCGATATCGGGCATGGGTTGCTGCCACAGCCAGCTGGAGACAAAGACTCCAGAAGCAGGGCCTACTCTGCTGCAAGCTCGACGTCGTGTAGAGGGGCTTCCCTCATGCCGGCCTCCAGCCAAATCAGAGTTGGAGGAATGCTTGCAAGATCCTGACTTCGTCTTGGAGCGATGCGATCTGGATGGTTCTGGTACTCTGGATGAGCATGAGCTGAAGCAGGCATTTGCAGCCTTTGGCTTGAAGCCAAGCGCTGAGAGGCTGAGGCAATCCATGGCAGGGTTGAATGAGATCGACAAGCCGACCTTCCGAGACCTGGTGTCCAAGCTGCAGGAGGAGCTGCCATCCGACATGAGATGCCGTCGAGCTGTTCCACATTCGCTGCGAGGCAGGGTCAGTTTATGCAGGGCTTGCTTTGCAGTCAGCGTGGTAGCAGCACTCCCTGAGGTATGTCACTGCAGCAGCTGCAGATGCTAGAGGAGCTTTACCTGCGTTCTGGCTGGTTGCAGCGGCAGTGTGATACCTACAACCAGCAACATGCTGCCGAAATCGCAAGTGAACAGCCGGGCTTTTTCAAGCAAGGCCCCAACTTGTATGCAGTTGATGTGTACATCGTGACACCTCTATCAAAGCCTGCACAGGCAGGGGAGTGCCCTGCTCGTCGGCATGATCGCAGGAACCGAATCCCAAAGGCGAGGGCCCAGTCTTCCTTCTCAGAGCTCTTGAACCCGCATGGGTGCCGTGTGCACTTTTTCGTTTCGCATTTCTGGGGGCATCTTTTCCAGACAACCATGGCAGCGCTCACCGCATGGGCTGATGCACAGGGGGAGCTGATGAATGTTGCAGCCTCCATGGACATTGTCTATTGGATTTGCCTTTTCGCTGTAAACCAACACAATGCAGCAGAGGAGGTGGGTGACGTTCCCATGCGTGGTCCTTTTAATGCTGCCCTTTCACAGGCCAAAGGGGGGGCCGTCATGGTGTTGGATCAGAACGCTGAGCCATTCAAAAGAATTTGGTGTTTGTTCGAGGTACATCGGCTTCATAAGCTGGACTGCCCCTTTGAGTTGATCACCGAATGGGGCTCCTTGAGCAGCGTTGCACAGACGGCATCAAGTACTGGGCCGCAAGCGCTGGAGAACATGCTGGAGACTACTGCTGAAGCCATTTGGGCCTCGTCAGCTCTAACAGCACGAGCCAGTGTGGTGGAGGATAAGCACAGGATTTGGCATGCTATTTGCGATGAGACGTTGAGGAACATGCCCCTGCAAGAAATGCTCAGAGAGCACAACTCTATACAAGAAATGAGCTCCTTATCAGGAAACCCTTCGGGTTGCGTTCGGCATTTCGGTGATTTTGATTCCCGTGTTCATGGGATACTTGCAACTCCGTTGCTGGAAATCTCTATTCAGTCAGGCAATTGGGGACAGGCAATTCGTTGCATTGCCCAAGGGGCCCGTTTTGGTCGGGAGCAGCTTTGGGCCCTGCGCCGGCTGATGCTGCAAGAGCATCAGGCCCAGGCTAGCAGCTCCCAGAACGTGGTCGCGTGCATCTTAGAACTGCAAAGTTTCTGGTTGCATGTCGCTGCGAACAGCAACTATGTTGCTGAGGCTGCTTTGCTTCTTCAGGAAGGTGCAGATGTGAATTATGCTGAGTCAGAGCATGGCTTAACTCCTCTCTTGTATTCTGCACAGCATGGCAGTGTTGAAATGGTGAATTTGCTCCTGAGTGCTAGAGCCAATATTAACCAGCGCAATAACCATCGCTGCACTCCCCTAATGCTTGCTGCAAAGAGTGGGCACTGCTCTTTGGTGCAGCTGTTGTGGGAGGCGTCTGCCAGCGTGGTACCAGCAGATATATGGGGCAAAACGGCTCTGAGAGAGGCTGTTATGAGAGGTCACGACTCGGTCGTCAGGCTTCTGCTTCCTGCAGCCATTGGCCGGGATCGGCTTCCCATTCTACTTGGTGTGGCTGCGTGCAAAGGAAATGCTTCCGTAGTGAGGACTCTGCTAGAGGCATGTGCTGCAGTCAATTACCGGAACCCTAAAGTAGATGGAAACACGGGTCTCATTTATGCTGCAGAAGGAGGCTTTGCCAGTGTGTGCTCCATGCTTCTTGACGGCAGAGCCGACATTGCCCTTGGCAATGCTCAAGGTCGGACTCCTCTCATGCAAGCAGCCGCAAAAGGCCACCTCTCCACAATCAGGCTGCTGCTGGACAGACGAGCAGAGATTGCTCAAACCGATGCCTGCCGCCAGACCTGCATGACGTACGCTCTCCACCATGGCCAAGATGCTGTTGCTGCGTTGCTAATTGATGCCGGAGCTGATCCGACATCATCTGCCAACCTGTTGGCTCCTCCTTCAAACTTTGAGGCTCAATTTATCATAACACAGCTTCTCCTATCGATGGCGATGCAGCTTCTACCTTTCGACAGGTTTGCCGTGGAGAGAGAGGCGCGATGGGGCTTTACATGTCTCATAGCCGCAGCAATACAAGGAGAACAGGGGTTGGCCATCGCTTTACTGGAGCACGCGGCTAATGTGGAGATTGCTGCTTATGATGGCCAGACACCCCTAATCCATGCAGTGAATCAAGGCCGGTCAGAATTTGTGCAGCTGCTACTCCAAGCCAATGCCAACACTGCAACGCCTGACTGCAAGGGTGTGACGCCCTTGATGGCAGCATGTGAAATCGGCAACAGTGAGGTGGCAGGATTGCTTCTTGAAGCCCGCGCAGATGTGCAGGCAATTGACATGAAGGGTGAGACCGCGCTACACCTTGCATCGAGGAAGGGATGGCAAGCTGTAGTTGAGCTTCTGGTCTCAGCCAGTGCAGATCTCGAAGCAACAGATGATGAGTCGGCATTTACCAGCCTCATGATGGCCGCAAGCGGAGGCCAGCTCGCCACCGTTCAGACTCTCATTGACAGTGGCGCCAGCGTAAACAGGGCTGACTCTGAGAAATGGACTGCTCTCATGATGGCCGCAACAGGTGGACACACGCAGGTTGTTGAAACCTTGCTCAGAGCGCGAGCCTCTGTGTGCGCGCAAAACATACATGGCGTAGCAGCTTTGGCCCTGGCCACACATCACCCGGCCACCAGCGAAGTGCTCCTAGCAGCACAGGCAGATGTGAACTCCAGCAGCTATGTAGATGGCGAAACTCCACTTATGAACGCAGTTGAAAGAGGCTGTGAGAGAACGGCCCGGCTGTTAGTTGAAGCAAGGGCCGATGTGGCACAAGCCAACAAATGCGGTCGGACAGCACTTGGCTATGCAACAGACGACCAGATTCGAGCTCTGCTTGAAGCCCAGCTGAATGATGACCTCTACTTCTCTATATGACCCCTATATGACAGAGCTTTGGCAAGAGCAGCACACAGGCTGCTCACAGCCTTTGGCAGCGGAGGCATTGTAAAGATGGCTGCTATTCTTCTTATTTTGGAATGGATGTGTTTTGCGAACCCTGAAAAAACGGCACAAGTCCTCTACGCAGAGACATTTCGCGTTCAAAAGGTCTATGACAAGACAGGGCTCACGACTCAGGATGGTGCATGGCTAGACACGACATGTGCTTGCATGTGCCACTTCATGGCAAGCTCGTAGAAAGGTTGTAAGTACCTATTTCACTCAGACCGTCAGATTTACAAACAACGACAGTGCTCTTTGCCACACGCAGTAGCACATGCGATAGCGGGAAGAAAGGCCTGTATACCTGCATGGGGGTTCGTGCAGGCTGCGGCCAGTGGGCAGGAGAATGAGACTATCATCTTGTGGGACCAGACGCGAGGCCTTTCAGGTTTAGGGGTTAGCTGCAGTGCTATTTGTGGGGCTTTGCGCACTTTTGTTTCAGAAGCCGGCAATGCTCAGTCCCATGCGCATCAAAAGGGGTTAGCTGCTAGACCAGTTTTCAGGTCTTGGCCAGAATGAAGCCACAAACCCGCTGATGAGCCTCGTAAGCCCTTTCTTCATCTAAGCCCAAGCCGCAAAGAAGTCCACTCCCAGTGACCAGGACTGCAGCTGTCAGTGCTATGGTGCCAGGCCAGGCCATGGTGGGCCCAGCTTGGACATGGGCGTACTGGTTCATAGTTCCCTACATCCGGGACATTCCCTTCTCTTCACGTGAATTCGGCCGGCAAGAGTTGCCAAAGTGCAAGCAGCGACATTTCGCACACATCCTGGGATTCAGAAGCTGATCCCGGCGACCGGCAACAGCACCAGCCTTCCGGGCCTCTGATGGAGAAGAGCGCGCCAAGTGGTGGGGGGCGAGGTGGAGTGTCGGAGACACTGCCCTCGGCCTCACGTGTTGCTATTGGATGCCCTGGACTTGGTGTCTCATCAAGTGTGAGCGCATGCTCAACAGTCGCGTCGAGGGCCTCATCGACGGCATCATCAGCTTGGTCATTGACGCGCGCAACAAGGGCATCTACGTGTGCCTCTCCACTCCTGTGCGCGTGGCCTTGGTCCGGACCTGTGGTCTGGGAGCCACGAGGGCATTGAGGTGGGACAGGCTGAGCACCTCCCTGATGAGCGGCCCGAGGCAGTGACACCTGGGATCCTATCCATGTCAGTGGGTGTGGGGGCTGTGTGCTGAGGTATGCACTCCTCAGCCTCAGTGCTATCCTCTGGCTCAGCAAAAGGATCCGGAGAATGGTCCGGAACAGGGGGGGTCTCCAAACAAAGCAGAGATCTCCCGTTCTGTGATTTCAATTGCTGCTGGCACGATTGGCCTAGGCTCATCAATGGCAGAGGACGACACATGCGCGGACATCATTCGAACGCCATGAGCGCCATGGTGTGGCACAAAAGGCGACGCGGGGCCATTGACCGGTGGGAGGCAGCTTAACGCAGGCTGTTGTGTCCAATGGAGCGGCGTGCACGTGACCACAAGACAGTCCCTATGTATATAGTTGGACCCAAGTCCTCGAGGTAGATACAGCAAAGAGCACGACTATACAGCAAGTAGCATCCCCCAGTGCAGCATGCAGGTCTAGAACATTTTGTTCACCGACAATTCTAGTGAACCTTGGCTTCGAGAAGGTTCCCACATCACTTGCTGTGGGGGGCAGTCGGCACACGTGCACGGATAGGCAGCCCAACTGGACAAACCAACTCTATCAGAGAACCCGTGTCATGCAACCGTGTGAGCCGGTTCCAATGGGTGTAAATGGCCTGAAGGTGACGGAGGAACGCATTTCTCCTGAAAGCAAGGTTCCCCGCCCGATCCACATCATTTGCTGGGACTTGCATTGCAAAAAAGGCAACTTCCGCAATGCGGGACAGCAGTGTGCTGTGGGCACAACATGTCTAGGCAGGTGCGCGCCCACCGTGAGCACAGAAAGCAGAGGAGGAGCCATCTGTACTCCAGGCCGAACACGGAACGCATTTGCAAACAGGAAACAGCTTTCATGCAAGTTGCCTGCAGTGTTATGGACCACCGCGTCCAACACGGGCGAGAAGACTAGGTCCCTACCTGGCACCCTAAGGTCAAAGAATCCCCACGTTTGCTGATTGCCACGGGTACACAGGGCAATAAAGACTTCAACCATGTCAGCAAATATGTTAGCAACTTGTGCTATGTGGAGAACCATGTTCGCATCAACCACCTGACCGTCCTGGAGACAAGCAAGGAGGCGGGCGACCAAAGGCAGAAAATGCGCCAACTCCGACTCTTGGTGCAAAACAACGCCGTCCTCCGTAGCCATGAAAACGGCGTGGACGTGGCTGTTGGTATTGCAAGCGCATGCCGGTGGTGGTAGTTGTTGTGGGTTCGCGCTCTGGTTCGGGCGGTTGGAAAGATACGGGAGGTCCAGCCGGGTGGGCCAAGGATGGCTCCTGCTCTGGCTGCGGTTCCCTGCTTTGCTCCACATAGCGCTGCATGTAAAACGACAGGGTCCCGAGCGGAGTCGGTTGCTGTAGACTGAGCAGTGCCCTCAAGTCGGGTGGCTATGGCTTCGAGTACCCGAGCCGGCACTTCGCCCTCCGATCCAACCTCAAAGTCAGGAAGTGTGGCGAGTATCTCTGGGACCCGCACAAGGACTTGCAGGGAAGGGCAAGTAGGCCCTAGCCACCGCAAAAGCGTGCGTGTGTGTAGCAGGCCCCATACCGGACACCATGCGCGGGAAACGACCCCTTGCAAATTCCACCAAGATCTTTCTTGTGTCGGAAATCTTATAGGAGCTTGCTGCACTCGTTCGTCCAGCTCAGACAGGAAGCGGGCAAAGAGCACTCTACCCTTATCGGTGCACTCGAAGGAATCAACACGCCTGAATAGTTGTTCAACCTGATGCATGAATCCATTCATTCAGAGTCTCGTTATCTCAGAAATTTCCCTCGCCGATGGCCGCCGCCTGCTTGCTCTGCCGGTCTACGGTTCAGACCTCAGATCTGCCGAGCTCTAGTGCAGCTCAGAGCGATCCTGTTCTGTGCTTCGATGCCGCGGCGCCTTGCAGGGTGGGGAGGTGCAGCCCGACCCCGTTGCGCAGCTGCAAGCTGTGGAGCTGCTTGACCGCAGCGATTGGTCGGAAGAGCTCTCGGTCTGTCTGCGCTCAGACAGAGGGAGACTTACTTATGACGGGTTTCTATGGTTGAAGTCGCAGGAACGCAGGTCGTGCAGATGCGCGATCCATGCAGCTAGTGATCGGTATCGGTTAAGCCAGGAAGGACAGTCGACTCACTCAGGCTTCTGGAGCCTGTTGGCCTGTGCGTCTCCGATTCATGCACTTCACAACTTGGTTTGACACATCTTTGGGCTGCGAGGAGACGAGATGAAGATGATTGCTCCGACGAGTTCAGGCATTTATACTCCAGAAACACAGGATGGCAGGAGACAGTCCGGGAAGTTTAGCCATAGGCCATGGTGGACACGCTGATGACTGCTCCTGCATATCATTGCATGTGACACACAGTCTGATCCAGGCGACACACTCTGATCTGAGGCCATCAAATCACGAGCATGAAGGCCCTAAGCCAAAGACGCCTCGGCACAGGCGCTTGATGGAGAAGCTGGTGTCCAGGCATTTGCACGAGCTCGCCGAGCTGAAGCAGGCGTGGCTGTGGATAGCTAAGTTTGCCGGCCCATGATTTCACCCACCTCCCCAAGCGAAGTTCTTTCTGAGCCGCTGACATGCCGACCTCGCATCCCCACCGCTGCTTAGTGGAAACCGAGTTTCTCCGAGACCACAGGCCAGGAAGCGAGACCTGGAACCGAAGCCGTGTCCCGAACTGTCTCGCACTTCTTGGCATAGCCGGAAGCCCTTATGGATAAGTCGGCCATCGTCGGCTGAAATCCATGTTTTTAGTCGCACGACCTCGTTTGTAGCTTTTCTTCAATCTTCTTTAGGGCCTGTTCTGAGCCTGGAAGTCGAGCACAGGAGCTTTTGTTCTGCAAGCAGCGACAGGGTCGCCAGCCAGAAGACGACGAGGCTCAGGGGACCCTGGGTCGACCTGGTCCATAGGGAGTTGAGGCTCGAAGTAGGAGCACTTGCATTTCACCATTCTTGAGATTTGTGTCTGGGACTTCCACATTTGAAGCGGCCCTGCCGGCTGAAAGCAGGTTTTGCCGGAGGCTGCTGCGAAGGACCACCTCTCCCCCAGAGCATCTGGGCGTGATTGAACATGATTTCCGATTAGGGTCCAGGGTTTAGGGTTCAGTGCGGTGTGCTGCCCTTGAGCCTGGCCTGGCGAGCTCCAATCAAGGCTGTGTGCAAAAGAGTTTCGGCTGCTGGGTGCGGCCTGAGTACGTTTAGGCTTCTGGTTTTGTCAGGTTTTCGAGATAGGAGTGGCTTACCTGTTGACCTGCATTAGCGGGGGAATTGAACAGATACTTGTGTGCAGTGTGGCAGCTGGTGACAGCTTGATGTCGGCAGGGCCCGGCAAGGGAGATCAGCTTGTCAGCTGCTTCCCACGACAGGCTTCAGGCAACTTCAGGCCATATTCGTGCTCCTTGCACAGCTGAGGTTTCGGTGCCCGACGTGTCGCCGAAACCCTCGACTCCGCGACTGTCGCCGCGACCTTCGCAACGGCCGCATATCGCGGCTTTGCACAAATTTGGTCTTGTGTTTACAGAGCAATGTATGAAACTTTGATCAAATTGGCACATGCAAGGCATCAGGAAAGTAGTCTGGTAAGCCTGCAGCTTTCCCGGGCGAAGGATCCAAAGCCGACACCGCCTCATCGGCTAAGGGGAAGAACATCTCCGTTTCGAGCTGTTTGGCTCCCCTGTCCGGCGAGGAGGTGGAGGAGACCCGCCTGCTCAGTGGAACCGTCTTAGGGATGGTCCCAAGCTCTCTCTCTCTCTCTCTCTCTCTCTCTCTCTCTCTATCGCCAGTGATGATAACAACAAGTGCTAGACTGCTAGAGCCAGTGTGGGAGCCTTTAGCTGGATGATGTCAAGTTTGCTGTCAGGTACAGGCTAGCTCCCGCGAGAGCCGCGTGGAGCCGGATGAAAAGGCGCTGAACCAGGCGGCGGAGGAGCCGAAGAACGGTTACTCGAAGCTTTTTCTGGAGGCACGATGTCGAAGTATGCGGGTGAAGCCTGGGTCGCAGAAATATGGGCGTCGTGGACCACAGATTCAAGCTCTCAGGGATTTGGGGTACATGTTGCCGATGGCTCGATGTAGGCTGCACAATGATTATACGGTATACGGCTTTGGAGTCACTGTATTCCAGGGTGTTGTTGCCGTGCCCAAGTGTCGTAATAGTAATGGTAATAGTAATAGCAATAATGGTTGTAGTAGTAAATACGTAGGACTCTGCTCGTATTCTACACGACCGCCTTGGGTGAGTCGAGCTTCTACCCGTCGACCGACGGGGTCTTCGGTGGACGTCGGCATCCACTACGTCGCCAGCGATGATCATGTTGGTGTGGTGTTGTTGGCGGTGGTAGTGGAACCTTGTTGTTGCTGAGCTCCAGAGACACCTGTTACCTTGGTCGACTCCCCTGGCTTTGTCACTATCCCGGCCTCTTTGCAGTCATGTTTGCTGTGTAAGTGAGCCAAAGTTCCCAGTCTCCAGCACCACCTGCGCCCCCTCGCAGTCCTCGCATGACTGATCGAGAATATGCAGTACACCTGCCCTAAGCGTCCTAACCTGGGCGAAGAACGGTCCAAGCTGTTACCCTGCTGTGTGACTCGCTCGGCTTTGCAGGAAGCAACAAACCTTCCAGCATGCGGTGCCCGAACAGGAATAAGTGTTGTAATTGCAATAAGAATAGGAATAAGTGTGGTAATAAGAATAATCGTAGCGATAAGAATAGTAATCAGTTATAATCCTAGCAATACCAGTAATCGTAGTCATAATATGTTCGATGGGAGAGGAGTTGCAGCTGGAGCTCGGCTCGATGATGGAGGGGACGCACTACGAGCCTCCCGAGGATGCTCGGAAGGGCCGAGAGTCTTAGGTCATAGTAATAGTAGTAACAGTAGTAACAGCAGTAATAGTAGTAATAGTTGGAATAGTAGTAATAGCAGTAATAGTAGTGTCCGCCGCTTGCGCCGACGGCATGTCTGTGTTTGTTTCTATCAATCTGCCCATTTGCGTTTTTGAGATACTGCATTCTAAGTGGCCCATAGTCATTATAGTAATGATAGGAATAATTTTAATAACAGTAATAAAATAAGCAATACTTGAAATCATAGCAATAATAGAAATAGCGATAATAGTAACAGTGATACTTGTAATAATAGTATTAGGATGTCTTGGGCTTGAGATGTTTCTATTTCTTGCAGCAGCAGCACCCCGGATTACGAGAGCAGGGAACTGGGAGCATGAGTGGTTGTTGACTGTTGGGACATGTAGCATCGGCGGCAGCAGCGGCACTGGCCCGGAGACAGCGGGAGCAGTTGCAGTCATGTCATCTAGCGGTTGCAGGCGATTCAGACGTGTGAAGGGCAACGTGGATATGAAGCGTGGCTTTGCGATCAAAAAAGAGGTGGGGCCTTCAATTCAAAAGTGTCTTCGAGGAGGACCACTCGCGCTTGGGCCGTCTGCGACGAATCTTTGCTTCCCCGGAGTACGAGCTACCCGGCCACGCGTGTTCCGCAGTTCGATTTTAGGGCACCATGCCTCGGAGGCCTGCTTGAAGGGCATCGGCACCGGGTTCTGAACTTCGGCTGGGATTTTGGGGAGGCAGCACAGGAGGCAGTTCGATCATTGCGTTTTTATTGGGGACTCTGTGGGGCGTGGAAGAGCTCCAGTGAACATGCCATGCCGAGACACGTCGCAGTCATCTCAAGCAGATCTTGCAGCGAGGGTCTGCATATCCTTTCAGCTCTTCCGGCCATCGCCAGACCTGGAGCGTTTTAGCAGGATGCCTCTCTCCATGAAGGGGGGTCCTGTGTTCGGTTCATGGGGACTTGGAACTCATTCCTGTCTGTCCTCATTCTGGACGAAAAAACAGATAAAAGTTTGCAAACTTCTCCTTCTCAGCGAGGCTTGCTGTCACACTTCTCATTTTCGTGAATGCGTTGGTGATTGGTCTTCAGTTCCAGCAACCGGGCCGCAGCGGAGTGTTTGGAGAAGCCGAGGCTTAACAGCTTAACATCGAACTTTGTGTCAAAGTCTGCACCGTGTCTATCCTGCAACTGCGACTTTGTTGGAGACGAGGCTTCGAGACTTCCATAGCGAAGCTCGGAGCAAAACAGCAGGGCCGACTAATCTCCTTGAGTGTATCTTTAAGTCTGGCATGCGTGTCATTACATTTTCGCATCCACTTTTAACGATGCGCGTGCACGCTCAAGTTAAAGATCCCGGACTACTGAGGTACGAAGGTTTTCAGCTTGCCCACTTGATCAGCTTTCCCGGTCACTTGATGCAGAGTTGTCGGACCGCTGGGTGGGAAGCACTGCTGCCCTAAGCACCGTTTGGACAAGGGATGGTGGGCCTTGTGCGATTACTTTCTTGGGTTTCGGAGGTATTGATTGCTCCGTCGGACGTTTAGGGCTGATTGATGGACCTCTACGCAGCCGCGAATTCCAATACCTACGAGATTAGACGATGAGGTGTGACATAGCCAGGGGTGCGATCTTCTTGGGGGTGTTCCAGTTATTCACTGCATTTGGCGATGCAATCAGGCTGTTCCGGCTTTTCAACCACCTTCTGGAGTCCAATTTGTTCAGAATGGGGCACGACAATAGAAATTCGTTGGTGTATGAGCTCTTATTCAGATTGTGCCGGGCAGCCGCCGGGATTGTGTGTCGGAATGTCTTTCGTTATTCCGACATTCCATGATAGTCCCCTCTGTGAGTGCACTGGTTTGATGTATGCGAGGCATGTTGAAACAGTCACACATTGCCTTTCGGGTCCAATGTGGATTCATGCCAATCCATCTTGGCATTCACCCTTGTTGAGTCAGATCTCTCGTAATTTGTGAAGGCCGAGCGCTGCACGTCAGAGTTTGTCGACAGACGAACATCTGGTCCTGCTTGTCATCCGGAGGCTACAGCGCTTCAGCAGATGAGCTATGGCCTGGGATCTCAACTGTCTTCGATGTGCTACAGGTGACCTTCACGTGCCTCTGGCTTGACTTGGAAGGGTGATGTGCTGCACGTAGGTGATACATGCTATTTCCGGATAGATAGAGTGTCGCCGGGACCCCTTCAACCGAACTCTGTTGCCCCGAAAACCTCTGGATCTCAACACCAGAAAGCATACATCGTTAAAGGGCCCATGTTCGAAAGAGCACCTCATGCAATGCCGAGGTCCCTCTTCTTGGTTGATGTCGTGATCAGAGGATGTCTTTTCTGTGCCGGCCCAAGAAACAACCCGGCATCACCGAACCTTCGCGTGGGGGCCTGGGATCTTTCTGAAACCCGTCATCATCGGTTGCCCACCTGGACATGGATTGGTGAGTGTATCCTTCGGATCCATGTCACTTTCCCACGATGCCCAGCTGGCCACAGACCGCTGATTCTTGAGTGAAAGCCGTTGGTGTTTCAAGCTCCATGCAGTGCCCCACCTGCACCCGCAGCTCTTCTCGCGCTCTGTCGCCTGTGAGGGAAAACATTCTTCTGCGATTGGTTCAACTGGCTGGACCTTGTCGTGGTCCTGTCGAGTGCTTGTGCTGCAGGTTTGTGGTTTCTGATGTTACTGGGTCTGAATTTAGGTTTTTGGTTCAAGTTAATCCAGACCGCACTTCAACGACGGCCGTGAACTTCAAGGTGTAGCTGATGCAGCTTGACAAGTTAATTGTCATACGAGCCACGTAAGACAGTGCTTTTGGATTCTGGATGGGGCCTGCGCTCTGAGGTGTTTTTGACCTGATCACGTCCGGAATGTTCAACACAAGTGTCCCTGCCTCGGCATGGACCAAGCCTCTTTCGCAACTCCGGTCTTCGCAGCCTGCGGCAGATGCAGCAATGTTTCTTCAGGTCCTTCGGTTGCTACGCCTCACGAAGCTGACTCGGAGCATCCGAATTTTAAAGGCCAGGGGATTTCCGGCTTCCGATGCCCACATGGTCAAGGGTGACTTGGTGGATGGAGACATCAATCTACACAGTGTGATGCCCCGAAGCACGATGCAGAGAGACATGTGTAATGCTAGATCTCAGACAGCGGCATCATAGGAACTGGAAGTCGCTTTGCCAATTTCATAGGGAGGTGCTAGCTTCCACTGGGGTTCTCAGCTTCACCCTCTTAGGATTGAGGAACCACCTGCGGGTTCGGGGGCCCGCAGGTGTCTAGTGTGCTTGACTCGCTGAACATGATCATGCTGCCGGGCTGCAGGTCGTTTTTGAGGCTTCGCCCTCTTTGCTCTTTCCTTTTTTTTGGCTTCTGGCAGGGGCCCGTGCCGACGGTTCTTCGTTGCTTGCTCCACACGTGAGTTAGGCTACAGGATTCTAAGTGCCCTAGAATCCCAGTATACAGCGCAACAGTACTCTTGGTACGGGAGTATTGGGACATCAAAAAGTTGTTCCGGGATGTCTTTCCTCGTTGCGCCCATGTCCAAGGTTTGGCTGTGACATAAGTGCTCAACGCTTTTAGAAGGCAAGTACGAGTTTCGAGTGGACCCTACAATGGACCACACATGCTGGTAAGTCCTGTTGCTGTCTTCGCCTAGAGACTCCAAGGAAGTGCCTCCGTGCCAGCGTGGGTACTTTATTCTGGTCCTTGTGCGTACTCCTGGTCATCCAGCGCCTTAGTTGCTTTTTATTCATTTTTTTTAAAATCTTTCTTGGTGGTTTCTTAAGATTTGGGGTGCCTTGTTTCGGGATTGGACAAAGGATCCTGCGATGCAGGATTTGGGTTCTATGTCGGAGTTTAGGGTCTCTTGTTGTGTAAGTCTCGCATATGAACCGCCAGGATGCTCCATGAATTTTGAAGGTACGCATTCGCGTTTGCATTGGATTCACCGCCCGGAGATGCACGACAGATCTTCTGACGTGTGAACTCGAATTCAAGCCGACGGTCTCCAACTCGCGAGATCTCGAGGGTAGTGAAGATGCCGCACATCAAGTCCGATAGTGGATCCGACACATCTTCGAACGCCAAACACTCTGACTTTGCAGGGGTGTAGTCTTCCGTGATGCTCCGGGCGAAGGCAACTTACTCCACCTCGGAGCTGAGGTGCATCGGTGCCATCGTCATCATGTACACAGTGCAAACATACATTCGCAGTCCCAACGACCTCACGCAGGAGAACAGGCAGCTTCTTGTGGGATGCAGGGTCCCAGACCTATGGGGTATCGTGGCTTCAGCACTCAGAGTTCGTGCCCATGCGTGCAAAAGCTTCCCGTTGTCATCTCTTCGCCCCGTGCCCCCCCGCAGGCTGTTGGTTTTCGCTTACTTCGGCACCTTCTCGCGCTCCATGCTCACCATGTTCGAGGCCGGATGTGGACCGTGGCCCTGAGCTTCTTTGAGGGCTTCTTCCCGAAGCTGATAGCTCTCAGGTGGTACCCCACTTTGTGGCCCCAAATTTACCTCTCATCCTAAGCAGTCCGTGTATGTCCATGCCAACATTCCCGAACGTTTCCCAGGTCCTCTTCGCTAACTGGATAACGCCTTGTCGCATACTGGTGGAGCATTTGTGGCTTGACTTTGGTATCACCACCCCCTTATCCTTGAAATATTCCCCCCCCTTAAGAAGGTAGTGATACTTTGCTTGTGACCTACATATCATCTGCATAGGACACACTGCTTCCCAAGAAGCGAGGCTTTTTCTGCTTCTCTGGTGCGTGAATCGTAGAGACACTGAGAGCCCAGCCCGGTTGAAGCCCAGGAGCGAGTACTTCTCCGCCGTCTTTATCTTGTGACCTGGCGCGGATGGGAGATGAGTGTTGAGACTCTCAGGATGGGGGCCGCGACGTTTGACAAAAACGTTTGCTCGTCTGATTATGTCTACGCTGACTAGACTACACGATGACGCAGATGTTACATGGCAGCAGAATGGGCAGAACCTGTCCTAGATGCTAGACGTAGGTGTAGTCAACGCATACAGGCATACACACCTGCCTGGGCAACTACATGCATACACATCCATCCGCCCGCCCCGCCCGCCCAGCCATCCGTCCATCCATCCATGCATGCATGCACGCATGCATGCATGCAGGCATGCATGCGACGCATGCACCTCTCTGTGTATAATCAGATGTAGATTTGTGTATACTGTGTATGTGTACAGCGACAGGGACAGACAGACATGCGTGGGGATTGTCGCGTAAACTCATATTTGTTCAATGGCTACATAGTTGCGAGCACGTGCTAAAGGGCTCACGTTGATCTTGCCTATGCCAAGAAGACCTCGAGTTCGCAAAGTCTGAACTTGAATAGCCGAGAAAAACCAGGTACCGGTGTTTGGTTGGCTTTGCCGTCTTGAATGTCATTCAGGTGGGTCTCAGTGCCGATCGCTTCACCACCATCCGAAACCGTCGCCTAAAGCTGCACATACCACACTCCCAACTGGTGAGATCATGCCCTGAGGGCGTGTTATGCCAAAGGTTTCACACACATTGAGACCAGGACGGTCGGTCGGCTCTTGCTCACAGTTGTGTCTAATTCGAATGTAAAGAGCTTGGCGCTATGCCGTACCCGCACTCCTTCCCAGTTTCTCAGTCCTAATCATCAGCTTGAAGTGGCCCAAGCCGAGAAGGTCAGGTAGTTGAAGTCACGGTGCTCAAGACTACCCTACGAGTGGATGATGCAGCCTCATCTAGTGAATCTAGTGGAGGGTTGAGGACCCCCATCCACGATTCCCCATCACAGACTTTCCGGAGGCCAGCCCATAGGCATAGATGCCCACATGAAGTCTTTACAGCTGCTATGACTTGCAGCCACAAAGGTCGACAAGACCTGAGGTTGGTTAAAAATGACTGCCAGGCAGTGTTCATCCAGCGCACCATGCAGGTGGCCCAGGCAGGTAGTTCTTTTGGGCGATCTCGCTAGGTTTAGGTGCTGAGTGGGAAAAGATCAGAGCTTGGGAGGGGACCTCATCCTTGGGTGTTAGCAAGTTCACGGGAGCTCTTTGGCTAGACCATGCTTTATGCAAAGCCTTCGTTTTTGCTTCTTGACACGCTGGGAATGTGCAAGGATGACAAGGAACTGCAGCTCAAGCAGAAGCAGTATGCCGCCAAGACCTTCGAGCGAAAGCTGCGCTACATCTTCGAGGAGTTCTTTTCTTTCAAGTGGATCAAGTTGCGGCCAGTCTTTCTTCTTGCTCGTTTTGCGGCGTCTGGGTTGTCAGGCGGTTCGTTGAAAAGGGTCCTTGAGCCAAGAGCGTTGGAAGCCTGGCCATGAAGGTGTCGGGGCGAGCATCTGAAGCAACTTTTGAAGGGGGTTCATCGTGCTAAGAGACAGCTTCTGCGGCGAGGAGCTTGACACTTCTGGAGATGGCATCGTGCCGCTTGGTCTGTCTCTGTTCCATGCCAAGAACCCCCGTTCCATGCTGCAAAATGGGAGTTTCCGAGACTTAGGGGTACCTTATTATTTGGGGTTCTGATCGTAAGGATCCTACTATTTAGGGTGCTATACTAGGGTCCCCTAGTTTCGGATCCCCCCCCCCACCCAAAGTGTCCAGCCATGAGGACTTGGGAGGAGTTCGATGACCAGCTCAAGGATCCTCGCACGGGCGCGCTCCTCTCCATGATCGAGATCCTCGGACTTTCTCCCCAGACGCTCCAATCTCCCTCAATTAAGGGAGATGCCTTGAATTAGAGTAGGATCCCTAGTATGATTTGGGGAATATTCCTTAAATTACAGTAGGATGCCTAATATGATTTAAGGAATATTCCTTGATTAAGGGATATAGGAGTCTCTGGGTCCTGTCGCTTCTTGGGGACAGGCTACGACTATGGCTAAAGAACACAGGGGATCGGCAATGGCTGATGGCTATGAGTTTGCCAACGAACTCTGAACCTCAGCAAGGCAAGCTTTCTGGATGTCAGTTTTATGGACCCAGTTTACACCTGGCGCCGGGGAGACCACTTGAAGCCGACAATGCCACATGTCTCTCGACCGGGTCACACACTCAAAAGAGAGAGGCAGGCTCTGCAGGCCTTCGGAAATCCAGACAAGTTGGGACCGAGGTGCCCGCAAGTAAGTAGTTGAACAGATAAGTACAGAAATCAACCTGTGCAGAGAGATGAACGAAGGAACACACACACACACACACAGCTACACACCCTATACCTACAGAATACGCGGGGCATAATTGGTCACTGTGACTATCTCTTGGCGCTTCGCGCCCAAAGCCCAAGGATCGACGCCCAGGACCTCAGGCCGAGATTCGGACTCGGGAGGGTTTAGGGTTTAGGAGGCTTTTGGCTCTGGAGCCCTCAGACTTTGCTCAGAAGGAAAACAGGTCATCTGCGAAGGCAGAGGTCAGTGCTTTCTTCAGCTGCAGTTGCGTGGGAGTCTATCGGGATGCGCTCTTCGCCTTTGTCCACGGAGCTGTGTTGAGGGTTTCATGTCCCAGTCGGTCGCTGCCGTTCCTGCTTTGCTTTTGAATCGTTGGCCGGAGTAAAAATAGAGCGGTTGCCAACGATTCCGACTCGCGAAGCTTCGACTCCTTCTGATTCTTTCCCGGGCTTCTCCACAGTAAGTGCGAGGACATTGGGCTCGCGGGCTGGCTTGCTTCGCTCTTTTCGGGTTCTGCTTCTGAGACTTCGGAGATCACCGAGCCCGAAGCCAAAGCCCTCGCAGGGTATTTTACGATTTGTTGGATGACGGAGATGGCCGTGTCGACGCGCAGAAGCCTCCTGACTGAAGTTATGAAACGACGCCTTTGGCATAGCCTCCCGCACAATCGGACTCAATAGACCAGGGTGTTGCGAGCTTGGTAGGCATCCCCGTGAAATGGCTGCTGATCTTTGCTTTACCAAGCAGAAGATTCTTTTGGCCAGGTTTCCTAGGCACATCGACCTCGCATCGCAATGCATACAATTAGTGGCATGCCATATGAGTTCGTCTTCCTTTTAGGAACTGTCCATGAACTCCGACAGGTTTGCGCAAGGCGTGCTGGCAATGAAGGGCCCCGTGGGGATCCCAGCAGCTCACGGGGGGTTCCTGTGACCTGGGTTTTCGGCTGTAGGGCTCTTCGGTTTCAGGTCTGGCACGTGGGATTGGGAATGCGATACAGGGGCACCTGCGTAAGAATGAAAAGTCCTCGAAGATTCGGGTTTTGGCGCTCGAACAGATACACTTGGGTACCTTGAGCACACGGGATTGAAAGAAATACGCGGGGTTGAAAAAAGTGAGTCGCCATTAATGACCACAGACGCTAGCCGCTAAACCAAGGGCATGGAAGTTGTTTCCAAGCTGGTGTAATTGTCATACGATGTTGTGCAGTATATACAATAATTACCACGCTACTTTATAATATACAGTATACAGTGTTCGATTATGTTGTGCTGTACTGCATTGGTATGTATTCTGCTGTTGTACTTCATTATGTTATCTTATAATGCAGCCTTCGACGGCATTTGATGTCGTATTGTATCATATATACTCGTTTTGGCAGGGATGGTTGGTAGATGCTGGCAGTGAATGCCGCTGCTCTTACTTTGCTGCTGCTGCTGCTGCTGCATGGTTTTCCTGTTTTCAAGGAGATCCATGCAGATAGCATGAACCATGACGTGGAAGACCGCAGTATCTTCACAGACTTTCTGCATGGCCTGTCCAAGTTTCGCTCCCTGCTGGCCGAGGCAAAGGGTATTGATCTGGCGCAGCTAAGCAAAAATGTCGGCCGACTTGGTCTCATGGTGCCTTTGGCAGCAACCTCTTTTCGGTTAGGGCCCGGGCCCTGCCTCGGAGCTCTGTAGGCATAAAGATGGATGCGTAAGCGGTGGAAACGGCCCGGAGAGTCAGCACAAGCTGCTGTAGTCACTTCCATCATTCTTGCGGCTGGCATTCATCACTTCTGCCTAAGTAGGGCTTTAGTGTTTGACATTTTCCTGCACTGCACTGCATGGAAGGGGTTGAGGGGTGGTTTCCTTTCTTCACAAGGTTGGGGTGTGCCTGAAGCTCAGTACCGTAGTCGTCGTAATTGCAGCACAGGACAACAGTCTGAACTGAGAGCACTTGTAGCAGGAGCCGTATACGAACGGTGCACAGAAGGAACAAGAAGAATTCCCAGATCAAGGCTGGAAGCAGGGCAACAGAACGAACACCAGGAAAAATGTTTCGAAAAAAAAGGAAGAAAGCCCCGGAGGTGCAGCAGCTCTCCGAGAGCTTGGGGACGGGCCGCATCTCTGTGAGACCGACCCTTGGGCGTTGCATTTGGAAGCTCCGTCCTTTCTCTTTTCTCTTCGAGGGTTTGTTATCAGGGTTAGGGCTTACTAGGGCTCATGCTGTGTCTAGGACTTGCAGAGTCTCGCGAGAGAGCAACTCATTTTTCAGCACAGGCCGACAGTCAGCGTGGGTTCCCGCTGCTGCGTTGCCGGAGTCTTCTGCTCTACTAACCAAAAGAGCAACGCGATGTTTTTGCCTTCTTACTCTGTACTCGCGCAAATTTTGTGCAGAACATCGTATAACGTACTATAATGTTCTTATATAAGGTTCCGTCAAGTCATAATATACTGCGATCTTTGTATCATAAGACTCACCTCAGAGCCCAGGAGCGACTACAGGGCGCGGACGTAGGCGATTACCCGAGGCTCGGCCGGTCTCCGAGAGCTTGGCCGGTCTTTGGGCGCAAGAAGCAATGCGGGGGGAGACCTGAATCATGTACTTTTGCTTGGCATGATTACTGCTGTTGCGAATTTGAGGTTGTGATGACTATTGCTACTATGCCTTTGCTATTGTTAGTATTGTAATCTTTGTTCTTGTTATCGCCATGTTTCCTAGTGTTGTCATGGTGCCGATGAGAGGCGCCATTGCCGCCTCTCGGAATCCACAGAAACATGGGCCCCTGCAAGACAGGTGTCTTTCGAATCAGCCAGAAGCAAGAACCTACAATCAGTGCATAGCAATACTCTATATACAATTATAAACTGTCGTTTGTCTTGGTGACATAGAAGAATGCAAAACATCTCTGGCATGATCGGGAAGCCGGAAGCTCTGCATGCAGGCGGTCCGCTCCCGCCTGGGATTCTTGAGGAATTTATGGAACTGGCTTGCTCAACGAAGCATCGCTGGCCCTCAAAGCGATCTGCAAAAGTTTGTAGAACTAGCCACAGCTGTGCCTGATGCTTCTTGGCAAGCACGCTGACTTGCTCTTTCGAAGAAAGATCTTGCAGTTCATGAAGTGAACTCCACCATGGTGTTGTTCGAAGTTGGGCTCCCTTTCGGTCTTGAAAAATTCCTGGTGTTACGGGGGCTCAACGCTGACCTCATCCTCATAGGTTTAGGGAGTGCTAGCTTCTAGCAGCCCATACCGTTCTGTTTTCACACTGATTTCGATGCTGCTGAGCGAGACAGAGGTCTTCACTGCTAGCCTGGGGAGATGGCTTGAATATCGCTTTCGGAACTAAAGCCTTTCCTTCAGCAGTTCTTCTTTCTTATTGACGGCTTCTTGAAAAGTCCACGCTTCAGGTAGGCAGGGCCCCAATGATCGACAGGCGACTTCTTGTCTTGCTCAACAGCCATGTCAGGGCCAGGAGCATATCTTGATCGTGTCTTGTATCCCGATCTGCTCGGAGAGCAATTGGTTCTGGCAAAGCCCATCAGTGAGGCCTCGCTAGAACGCCACCCTGTGCGGCCTGCGCGGATTGGATCCGCTGGCAAGCCATCCAAAACTACAGCATCTGCTGAAGCAGTAGTAGCAGTGGTAACAGAGGTAGCAGTAGTAGCAGTAGCAGTAGCAGAAGCGCAGTAGTAGTAGTCGGAGTAGCAGTAGCAGTAGCAGTAGCAGTAGCAGTAGCAGTAGCAGTAGCAGTAGTCGTAGTAGTAGTCGTAGTAGTAGTCGTAGTAGTAGTGGTAGCAGTAGTAGACTTATTAGTACTAAGTAAGCCTTAGTGGCAAGAAAGGGTAGGCGGTAGTCGCAGCAGGTAGGTAGGTAGGTAGGTAGGTAGGTAGGTAGGTGTAGTAGTAGTAGTAGTGGTGGTAGTAGTGGTGGTGGTAGTGGTAGTGGTAGTGGTAGTGGTAGTGGTAGTAGTAGTAGTAGTAGTAGTAGTAGTAGTAGTAGTAGTAGTAGTAGTAGTAGTAGTAGTAGTAGTAGTGGTAGTAGTAGTAGTAGTCGTAGTAGTCGTAGTAGTAGTAGCAGTAGTAGCAGTAGTAGTAGTAGTAGTAGTAGCAGTGCCAGCAATAGTAACAACGGAGATGTAGTCAGTATTATCATTATTTACGATGGATGTCATGGCGGTTGTGATGATGCTCAGCAGATGATGGTAAGACTGTTTCTGTGGTGTTGATGGTGGTCAGCTTGATGATACCCAGAGTGCAAGGAAGCAGGGTGGTCAGCTTCTGCCTTGCCCATGCCGCACGGAGATGATGCTGGATGCAACACGCCCGGCCCAAGCCGCAAGTGTAGGCTCTGAAAAAGAGCCCAAGCAAAGCCTCGCAGTGACTTCTCGACTTGAACAGCACACGGTTTACAGGCCCTGCTATTGAAGCCACCAACAGACAGCGGTTTCCTACAACCCTTGAAATGCTGGGGCGGGCAATGCTGCGGTGCTGAGTGACCGTGGCGACCGGACTTCGAAGATCGAGGCGTGCCATTTGAGGACTAATATTTAAGCTTCAACGCTAGATTCAGATGGTGTACTCAGGGCCCCTCGATCCTGGCGGTTTTGAAATCGTCGTGGATTGATATTTCTACCTTTGTTGCATGGTTTCGGAGGCCATACGGCCATACTGCCGTTCTTCTTTTCCTTCGCTAAAGCGGTTGGGAAGCGGAGTCGACGGCTTGTGTGGTGAGGCTCTCGTGGGACATCATGGGACACAGGCTTCCCACGTCAACTAATCGCAGGCTGAGACCGATCCCGGCCCATCATGCACTGTACGCCGGCTGAATGGAGGAGGCGGCTTTGCATCGGGGGTGACATGAATTGAATGTAATCTGGGAAGAGCCTGCTTTAAAACAACTGAAGCGCGAGAACTTTCAGACTCTGGTTGTTGGGCTCAACACTCTATCCGAATCTATCACCATCAGTCAGCGCATGCGCTGACAATTCGTGTTTTTCTTGGCTTTGTCCTCTCAACTCACGTGTGTGTGTGTGTGTGTGTGTGTGTGTCGCCTCACGGAAGTCTAGCAATGAAGCGCCGAAGTCGCTCTCCGACTCCTGGAGCCCAGAAGCTGCGAATCTCTCAAAAATCCGAGGACCGGAACAGGGTCGGGCAAGCCTAGGATGAAACAGGAAGGCGCTAGACGCTACAGCAGCTCCTGTCTGTTGCTGTGCTTTGACGATTATACTGTATCTTATTACATCATATTATATCAAACAATGTCATATTATGTCATATTATATTATCTCGCATTTTACAGAAGGCGGCCGCGCCGGCCTGGTGGCGCGGCCTCGGAGTTCTGCGGCGCCTGGCACTTGAGAGGCTTTCCTTGGGTTAGGGGCGGAGCACAGCCTGCAGGGTCGTACCTTTACAGTGCAACTTGCATATATGTTAATCCCAAGCGAGTGTATAATATTCAGCATATATAGCCCTATGCCGTGAGCATGCCTGCGCCCGCAGTCTCTCTCCAAGAGTGCGCACTGGCGCTTGCAAGCAAGTTGGGAGGGTCTCGCCGGACCCATGGGGCTTCAACGCCGCCCTCGCCGCCTGCATCTTGGACCTTGTTTTCTGTAGAAGCTGAAGCATTGGGTGCGTGAGGAGGTTCGCAAACTTAAGAAGCCAGGACGTTTCAGGGCTGTTGTGAAAGTATGCTTGGACGTGAGTTTGCAACAGTCGAGGCGAGCGTCGCAGTCGTTGGCCGCTTGCGGTGTACCTTGCTGGAGAGAAGGCTTCGACGGATGTGGTGTGGCTCGCCAGCAAGGGCAAATTCTAAATGCTGTTGTCGGGGATCCTGAAGTTGGGGGTCCTTTATTGCCGCAACCAGGACCTGCAATGTGCTGCTGAACGCAGCCCTCCGCATCTCCTGGCAGCGAGCGTTGGCAACAGTGACGCAGATGGAGGTCTCGAAGCCTTGTGCATACCGAGAGCCGAGCTTCCGAGAGTTGCGGGCAGCTCGATGCAGGCGGAAGGCATTCAGCCAGATTCTGTGACATACAACACAGCCGCCCACGCCCTCTGCAAGGACCAGGACCAGCAGCTTGGATGGTCCAACACGCATGAACACTTGTCATTTCTAGGCCTCCCAAGATCGTTCAGAAGCTTATCCAGGCCACGGAACAGATGAAATGGAAGTTTGGAGCCCCACGCCGCTAGAACAGAATGGGGAAAGGGTTGACGTCGTGAGGTGGCAGATGACGCTGCAGCTGCTACACGATTCGGCTAAAGCAGGCATGGTCTGTGAAAACTCTTGCATCCGCAGGCTGTGAAGCTGAACATGAAAATTCTAGGGCTTGACTGATGCGGGGTGACTCCATTCTCTTGTGGGCTTGCGCCCTCGTGGGACGGGTGTTATCTCTGATGCTTGCAAACCTGGTTGATTTACAGTTAGAGTGAAGACATTCGAATTGAGCTCTTGCTGGCTGTGGGTATGAGTCGATTTGGGGTCTGGTTTGCTTGCTTCTCTTGCTTTCATGCATGTCCTCTCGGAGCCGAAGCTCTCCTGATTTTGCCGCATGGGGGTGCCAGGCATCCGGCCTGGCAAGGTGTCCTTCGCTGCGCTGGCGGCCGTGGCACGGCGGAGGCGCCAGTGGCGCCAGGTGGGGGAGATCCTTGCTCCAGTGATAGCTCCTGTGGATGTTCCGTCGAGGGATCTTTGCGCATGTCAGCGTGAGAGGCTGTGCATCTGCTCCAACGTATGGAGGAAGAGCAGGTGGGAAGAGATGCTGCATAACCCGACTCGGATCCACCAGCCGTCGTTGTGAAGTTGGGTTGCAGTACGGGGTTTCTCACGCAAGCCATACATGCGTTTCTCACCACAGCCCCTCAGCCACGCAACCCGACCAGCACCTGACCCTGGGCCAGGTCGAGGCAGATGCGGTGAGTTGTGCGCTCGCTCTGCGTTGCTTGGAGGACCTCGACATAGGCCATGCCTTTACTTGCAGCTCGAGCAGCACTTTTCGGGGTGCATGCCTTGACAGAGTACACATTGTCTCCTTCTGATCCTAGCCGTGAGTCTCGCACAAGAGGACTGCAGCGAGTGGTCCTGGGCCATGCTGCTGTTGTGGCTGGGCTGTTCAAGCTGTGCAATCCAGGCCTCTTTCGCCTTTGGACGCTTTCCGTCGCGTTGCAGAGCAAATTCACGCCCACGATTTTTATCCGCGATCCCTCGGTTCTCCGATCCCAGGCAGCGACCCGGCCTGGACTCCACCTGCCTCAACGTGGCTCTGTCGGCTGTGCTTGCCGGACCTGAGGCGCTTCCGAAGGATTGGGCAACAGCTTTTTTTTTTGCGAAGCTCTAAGGGCAAACAGTAGCATTCTGTGCACGTGCTTCCGACAAAGGAAGCGCAGACTGTGGAGAGCGTCTATTGCTTCTAGCGCATCTGCAGCTTCCTGGGTGTTGGCGTTCCGTTCTGGACGTTCCGGGGTTGGTGTTCCGTTCCCGCTCCGTTCTACGTTGTGAAGGCGAAAAGCGATTCAGAGGCATTGAGTCAAAAGCCCTTACTCGATAGTTTGCAGTGGATCGCGACACCTTCGACCTGTTCACCTCTGCCTGACACAGTTCTTGGCGATGTCCGGCTTTGCTCTCCTGAAGGCTCTGCCACCCCTATACTAAAGCCGTACTGAAGCCCTTCAAAGCCCGGCATGGGCGCGTTCATATCACGTAAAGTTCTGTCACGTTCTCACATGTTCTCACGCCCAGGCAGCCATCAGGATTGTAATCATGGTCTGGGAACTGTCAGGCGGCGTGGCACCGGGGGCTGTGCCTTGTGACGCATGCGCTCCGGCACGGTCCGGCGCCGGACTCCGTAAGCTGCGCCCGAGCTGTCAGATTATGAGAAAGACAGAGTCGGAGCAGTTTTAAACGTGTCGACGGTCCCGGATCTTACTTAGATAGGTTTGGGATGCTACACGTATAGTTAGTGTAGAAGTGGCGCATGTGGTGGAGCTGGGGTCCAAAGCTTCTGCGCTTGCCGCCAACATCCGGCACAGCTAGACGGATCGCGTGCAATCAGTTGAATAGTGTTGGATGTCAGAGGGCTTCGAAGACAACGCGGTACCTGCGGATCCTTCATTGAATCCGAATCCCAGATCAGGGCAGGGGCGCAGTACCAAGCGAAGATGAAAGCACGGCTATCAGACCGCAGCTCGCAATGAAAGGTAGCACCGTCGCCAGTGCCTGTGCGCGAGCAGCAGTGCCCGGCGTCGCGCATCGCTTGCTGCGCTCGTGCCTTTGCTTTGTAACAGTTAATTGTCAAAGAGCTTCCTTCGCTTGCTCATTGAGTCGTGGGTGTGGGTCCTCGTTTCGGGCGGTGCAGTGGGGGTGCAGTGCTGCTTGCACGCCCCGGACAGACGGCTCCAGAACGTCGAAGGGTTCAAGACAAACATGAGAAGGATACGTCCTTGGGACCTGTGGCATTTGGCTTGACGAAATCTTCGCTTTAGGCCAAAGCTCACAGAAAGACGTTCAAAGATGCTTGCATGCGTAAGCTTCAAGATGGAATGGCCTAGGTTGCAGTTCTCTGGCGTCCGCCTCGGGACATCGGCCTACAACGCCTTCATGGCAAGTTCTCGTGGGCACTGGTCCCTGGCCATGGCGACGTTCCAGGAGATGGGCGAGAAGGCAGAGAAATGCAGAGAATGTTTGAAGATAAGACCGTCTCATTTCGGCTCCTTGCAGTCGTCAGTTGTAGTATCTTGGAGTTAACCCCAAGTGCCCCCCGGGTCTGTGCTTTTTGCCTCACAGGCATCAGTCGCCGAGCTTGGATGTATCGGGCTGCTCGGGAAAAGGGATGGTGGCCACGTCGGACCAAGCTTTCTTCCATCCAGGTTCTGGGATTCGGAAATCTTCGTTTTTGGGTCAGGCATTGCCTCGCGACGCCATCACTGTCGGCGCTGCGGTGGCGGCGCTCGCTGCCGACAGCGCAGCTTGGGCGAAGGCGATGTACTTCCCGAGGCAGGGTAGCTTGATACCAAGTTGAAGCTGCAGGAAAAAGATCAATTCTGTACGTGGACACCGCAGGCTCAAAATCTTTGGGTGTGGTGAACTGAAGGATGCTTGAGGTACTGGCAGCTCTTGGCAGGCTTGCCTCCCTCGTCGTATAGATTGAGAGTTTAGACTTGCAGTTTGCAGCCACTGCAGGACATAGTATGCAGTCGGAAAGCAAGTGTGTATAACCCGATCAAGAACAACTAAGCTGTTATAGCTCCTTTATCGGTGTCAACCTTTGAAGCGAGCTCTGTGGAGGGTGCTAGTATCAGCCGTAAGATGACACCGCAACGAGCACCAGACATCAGAGTCAGTAAAAGCCTCGTGCAGATACTTGCTTGGTGCGGAGGCATCGTTTGAACACGCCCGCGACAACAGCCTGCAGCACGGCCTGCTGCAATGCCCGTGAGCCGCTTGGGCTTTTAGAAGCTTTTCCTGAGATCCTCCCAGCTAGATCGCCGTCAGACCTCGAAGTTCCAAGGGGTCAGGACTCGGTCCTGTCGGAAGCTGAAGAAACTGAGAGACCACAAAGCTCGCTTTGCAAGAGACGTGCCAGGTGGGTTGAGGCCTTGGCGGTGCATTCGAAGCTGGCGCACAGCGGGCTTCAGGAGGCCGCCGGCGCAGAAGTTGAAAAAGCCTGTGGAATTAGGATGTTATTTCATATGCAGCACGCTTGGCTCGGACTTGGGGGTTTCTAGGTCCTTTCCCTTCCCAGAATCCGGCCACAGCCCAGTGGCCCAGATGCCAGGACCAGAAGACCCGCGGCGCTTTTGTCGCTGCGCGTGGGTGCCAGGGTTGGCGCCAATCGCTGGAAACGCTGGGGCAGGCAGCGGCCTTTTTGGGAGGTCTCAGCTATTGATTTTATCTGGCCTGACTTCGTTTTGGAAGCAGGCCTCCCGAAACTGTTGAATTCTGATTCGGCGCTATGGAGCTCGCAGGAGTTGTTCTGGGGGCTAGTGCGAGGCTTTGCACAGCTGGAAGCTCGTAGATCGAGGTCGGATACAGACGGAGCCGTCCTTCGAATGCGTGATGTACCCTATTGAGTCCAGAAACAGCAGCAAAAAGGGAAGGGATCTTGAGATTTACTCTTGGGTCGAGCGTGAGTGACGGGCATTTCAGCCGAGGAGCATGGGCAACTTCACGAACATGATAACAAGCGAACCTTCTTCAACCAATCGCCAGGAAATCCCGAGGCGTTCTACGGAAGGCCTCACCGAGCTATGCACAAGAAAAGCAAACATACGTATACACATACATATATATATATATACATACATACATATATATATATATTTATATTTATACACATTGTCACAGAGACACAGTATGTACACATATATATATATATACATACATACATACATTTATAGATACAGTACGTATAGATATGCGGTCGCAAATCGCAGTATACAGCATAGCATACATAGAATATAATGCCAGCGCTGTAGAGCACGCAGCAACAAAACGTGCAAACCCATAGTGCTGATGATATAATTCCAACATTACCTTATCGAAATTATGGTACATTCCTGATAATGGGTAATGCAGGGCTTATGGCTTATATCATCAATCGTAGTGAATAATGTGCAGCAGGCCGAGGCTCAGGTGGTCCCTTGCAATGCGGCCGTCACGGCGACTTGGACGGTGCACGGCTTTCGGAGCCTTGGGAAACATCCAATTACAAAAAGGCACCCCCAAGATAGCACAGGTATTTATTTTTGGGCCCCTATGTTTTGCTTCGACATCTTAGCAAGAGGGCCTTTCTGGACTATCTGGCTAGGTGGCAGCCGAACGAGCATAGACATCAGTATGACTTCGGAGCAAGTTTGGGCTATGAGTCTGAGTCTGCCCCGAAGCGTTGTAGTAGCCGGGAAAAGATATCTAGGCAAGATTCTACGGACATGATACAGGCAGTGGTCAGCAAGTTGTTAAGTATACATCCGCCCTGTGACAGAACAGTACTTAGATGCTAAGATGCGGCCAGGGATCCGGGCCATCAGGACTCGTGCAAGCCAAAGAGGCAACAAACCACTGCAACACGAAGCCTGTTTTCTTCCTGCAGTGCTTCGCCGAGCAGACCTAGCTGATGCTGATTGTGGAAAGGATGATGAAGAACATGATGATCCGGTAGCACAGAGGGTGTTGCGGAGTTCGCATCTGAGTCGGGTATCGAGCCCAACTGGCCTGTGTCTTTTGTCCTATGGGCAGCCGCCTATGTGCTCGAATACGTCAATGTCCACACGAAACTACGAACCCCTTCTCAAATTAAACCCACCCGGTGTAACGATTTCTCGGAGCTCTGACTGTCAAGGCCTGCGCGGAAACCGCGCGATGGCCTTTGGCCTTGGCCCTCCGCGGCTGGGGACCGGGTCCTCCGAGCGGGGTCCCGTATAGTGGGCGTCCTTTACATGTACAATTTGTGTTACAGTAGTCCTTGTTCAGGATTCTGCCAAATGCTTGGGATTTCTAATTTTCTGCAACTCGCAAATGAAGATTGGCATCGCCCAATGTGGCATCTACCTCTTCTACCACAACAACAACTACTGCTACGACTGCTGCTGCTGCTACTGCTACTGCTACTGCTACTGCTACTGCTACTATTATCTACTACTACTACTACTACTACTACTACTACTACTACTACTACTACTACTACTACTACTACCGGTATTGTTGTATATGTTCGTATGCGTGTTCAATGGCAGCCGTTACTTAACTCCAAAATCAAGCCAGGCCTCATTGCATTGTCGCGGCAGATGTAGTCTAGTTGTACTGTGATACTTGCCTGAATGGTCCTGACTCAAGTGTTCGAACTGCTGTGCAGCGCCTTGTCTTGGAACTGCCTTGACCCTGGGGTTGCTGGCAGCTGAAGCCTTGACCCCCCACTAGGCTCACACATTTGCCATTCTTCTTCGTCCGTTTTGATGTAGGCTATCGTATCTTGTGCTGTTGGAGTTTGGGGAAGTGTGAGCCTGTGGTAGCCGAAGTGACGTGTCGCCTGCAGTGCGGAATCGCGAGAGTCCGACAAGTGGGAGCCAAAACTACTACTACTACTGCTGCTGCTGCTGCTGCTGCTACTGCTACTGCTACTGCTGCTGCTACTGCTACTGCTACTGCTACTGCTACTGCTACTGCTACTGCTACTGCTACTGCTACTGCTGCTGCTGCGCTGCTACCTACTGGTACTACAACAACAAGTAGGAAGAACTGGTACTTCTGCCTGGAGGGGTGGCCTTCACGAACATGTGCGGCTCAAGGGCGGAGCTGAATCTGAGACCCTGGGGCCCTTTGTGTCAAGTTCGAGACGTAGCAGAAAGTCTGCTGCTCTTTAACTCATGCCCTTGATAGCTCCCTCTCTCTCTCTCTCTGTCTCTGTCTGTCTCTCTCTGTCTCTCTCTCTCTCTCTGTCTCTCTCTGTCTCTCTCTCTCTCTCTCTCTGTCTCTCTCTCTCTCTCTCCCTTTCTCTCTCTCTCTCTCTATCTCTATCTCTCTCTCTCCGCAAAGTCTTTGAAGCTGCCAGGCGCACGGATTACCCTGGATGCAATCTCTGCAAACGCAGCCGTCACTGCTTGCCGCCGCCTGGCACAGCCGTGCCTTCTAACTAGCGGCCGGTAAAGTACTTTAAGCATCCTCGAAGTCTTTGCGCATCGTCTGCATCCTTCTTGCACTGGGAGGGTCTTGTGCTAGATAGGGTTTTCCTTAGATGGGACCTTCTGGTAGACTAGGTTCTTTTTTGCCGGGGTCTTCGGCTGCAGAGGATCTTGTGATACACAGGGGTTTTCCGTAGATAGGGCCTTCTGGTAGACTGGGCCTTCCGTTTTGAAAAGCTTTCAGGATAAGCGATTTTCAAATTCACTTGGTTCGAACAATAACAAAAACTGATATCTATACACCCATATATACACATACGCACACACATACACACATACGTGTAAGTGTCTATATATATATATATATATGATATTATACATGCATACACACATGGATCTAAACAAACGAATCAGTAAACAAATGGAGCCATCAACGAATGAATGAAATAGGGAAAGAACTAATCAATGACTCATGTATGAAATGCATGAAACGAAATGAGGCGAAATGACATGAATGACACTACAGAATTTGAAATGAATGAATGAATGAATGCACGGACAAGTACGCATAATACACACATGCGTGCAGCCGCTTGGCATCTCAACAAGACCAGAATGTGCATCCACCCTTGAACCCACCAGTTCAAGACCCCATGGGCCATGCCTTTTAGGTTCGGCCTGGCAAAGAGCTTTGCTTCTCCTGTCGGAGCAGGCCAGGTGGGGTTGGTTCAGTCTCCGACTGTTGGAGAGGCAGAAGCCCAGTTTGAGATTGCTTGTGAGGGCACTGAGGAACTTAGAAAACGTCATACAGCCCTTCAGTCAGAAGATGGGAGCAGCGATAGGACTAAGAATTTGCTGCGTGGCCACGGGGGGGCTCATTGGATTGGTGCTAAAGTGAGAAAAATGCATTTGATCAACAGCTGTCCTTTGGAGCTCGAAGTGCTCCGACTTTGATAGGGTCTGTAGCTTTGAATCATGCGCCAGAAGGACAGGTACTTGTGCCTGCTTGGATGCCCAGCAGCCTTCCAAAGATAGACCATCCACCCATCCCTCCATCCCTCCATCCACCCATCCATCTTTAGAGTGGACGGTGGTACGTAAACTGGTGTGAACTTAAAATGTAGCGGAGCGCGTGCTTCGTTTTTCGAAGGCGCAGCTCGACGCTGCGAGCTCGGAGCTGGCCGCAGTCGCGGCGGAGGCAGGGAGGAGTGGAGGAGTCGAAGCACTGACAATGGGGGTTTCCGAATATAGGGGACCCTTATTTTCTAGTACCAGCAACAAATAGGATCCTTATTATAAGGACCCCAAAATCAGGTACCCCTATTTTCGGAAACTCCCAACTCGCCAAAAAAGAGGGCCGAGGGCCCAGCGGCTCAGCGTTTAGGCTTCGTTCTGATGCCGTGCAGGCGCGGCGCGCACGACGCGTCGGGAAGACTTGGTGAAGCTAACGTAGTCTGCCAGCAGCGCCTGCTTCCCACAGCCTCTACTGGTACCAAAGGCCCGCCCAGCTACCAGGGTGATTGAAAGCCTGAGCGAGAGAGGGAAAGAGAGCAAGCAGAAGGGAGAAATTCTCCCTATCCCCTAGCCCTGGCGAAAGAAGAAAGAAAGAGCAAGCAGAAAGCCCCAAGCAACAGAGGAGAGGGAAGAGCGATCCAGGCCCCCTTTTGGGGCAGGAGAGGAGGGAAGGAAGGTTCAAGGGTCCTTCAAAACAATAGTGGTAAGAATAGTAGCAATAATACTATTAGCTACAATCGTAACAGTAACAGTAATAGTAATTAATAGTAATGGTAATGTTACAGGAAATAGTCATAGTAATAGTAATGGTAGAAGTAATGGAATTAGTAATACTCACTGTAATAGTAACAGTAGCAGTAATAGTAATAGTAAGAGTAATGGTAATAGCAATAGTAATGAGTAATCAGTGGCTGAGGCTCCGGAGGTTGCCTAGCATTGCCAGAATTTCTATCAATGTTTGGCCATTGGCATTACTTGATATCCTGGAGATTAGAGGCAAATGTCATCACAGCTGTTAGTGTTCTTAATACCCGATGCATTTTCAGCTTTATTGGCTTTATTGACAACATCAGTATTTGTATTCTTGCCCACCTGTGTGTTTTTCCTCCTGCCAACTCGGAAGGCCTCTGAGCAGGGCGCCGCAGTGGCGATGTTGCTAGAGGACCTGGAAGGTGCGGTGCCCCTTGAATCAAGGAGGTCCCCTTTTCGCATGTTCCACGGCCCTCAATTCCAGCGCCTTGTCGGGCTCTCTGGACGTCTGTCTGGAGCTAGTTTCAACACTTACCTTTGGTTAGTAGAGAATGGAGGAATGGGGTACAAGTATAACTACTATTACTACCATTCTTCCATTCCCTACTAACCAAAGGTAGGAGTTTCAACATGGCACAGGCATAGCTGTAGAGCCCTGCGTTGCAGGGTTGGAGCCTGTCACTCGTCATCGCATTAAGTCCCAGTTTGCTGCGTATCACGGTGCGTGGAGAAGCACCCGGGATCATGGTGGCTCTGCTCGAAGTCTGGAGGTGGTAGTCACGTTCGATGTTTCTGCCCGTCGAATCAAGCTGACACCTGAATTACCAAGGCTTTGTGTGGGCAAGCATGCGCACACGAGCAGAAAGTATAAACCCATGGCCTGCTTCGCTCAACCACCCAAACTCCGCCGTGTATGCCAGGACGAGTGGAAGAGGTGCTACGCCGCTGAAGCCGGTGGCTCGAAAACTCACAGACACGAGTCGACGAGTCACTGGTCAGATATGAGCACGTAGGGGCAGGACACAGTGACATGCAGGAACTGCTGGTGTGTCAAACATTGTGTTGAATCAGGATTATGGACACTGCATTTGGAGGCGTTGGGCTTAAGCCTTAGGCCATGGGGTGGATGGGGTGGACCTCCCAAGGAGGTCCCCAACTCTCTTAGAGCGGGACCGGCGGGACCTATGGAAGGTTGCCAGGTGCGCGATGACTGGTCACGCCTTTGTTCGTCTGTGCTGAGCACAGAGATCATTTCGTTCTTTTCAGCTGCTTTCACCACCATGGTCGTATTGAACGTTGGTGTGGGGGCAATCTATGCAGTGTGCCTGCTGTGGGTCAGCCGGCCCCTCGTTCGTGTGATGAGCTTCCTGCTGGGGGTGCTCGGCTTCGTGTTGAGTGCGCCACAAGCTGTAGTGCGGATCAACAATCCGACCATCCTTCCATCACAGGACATTTTGCTTCTCACGTCTTTCGTACTTGGAGATGTGATGAATCACATCGCCCTGCTCATGATCATCTACTGGGACATTTGCAGAGAGTCTGTTATGTTGATTTTCGCACTGGATCCCGTGAAGAAAGCCAGGAGTTTGAGGTTGTCTTTCGGCGCCGGCTTCGGGTTCATGCTGAGTCAAGTCGTGGTCCTCGGCACGTTTCTGCCGCTTATGGCAGTCCTGGAGGACATGTCCAGGGCCTTAGCTATCAAGATCTTCTACATTGGGCAGGTGAGCTTCATCTTCGGATGCATGCCCCCTGTGGCCTTTGGCCTTCTTGCGAGGAATTTGCACAAGCTTTGGGCCCAGTTGCCACCGGATCTTCCGAGGAGACTGGTTCACCGTCTAAGGTACACCCAGTTGGGCCTCTACCTTCTCTTGCTGGTATGCACTGTGTACGCGCCGAGTGGGCTCTTGCCGGCGTTCATACCCGAGCTGAATCGGTTGGCAGGATTCATCTATACTTACGTCATCATGCTTGCTGCGGGCTTCGTGGTGTTGATTTTGCTGGTCGGGGAAGTGACATTGACACTAAAGCAGCTGCGAAGCAACGCTCGCCAAACGCAGCCTCTTGCTGCGGAGCAGATGGTCAAGATAGTAAAGGCTGGTGCAGAAAGTCTTCGATGCCTGGAGGATCGCCCACACGGCGTACAAACTCCTGTCTGGCATCGTGGGCTAGAGCACTCCATCATGCAAGGCTTCCTGCAACTGGCTGCTGAAGCGGACGAGGACGGTAAGATTGCAGACGAGTTCCTGAAAACGAGTGAGTTATGCCAGACACATGTCAAGCCGCTGACCGCTGCTGCGCGTTGCTCTGCCTGGGAGGCGCTGAATGCAGGACTGGTGCCGTGTTCATCGTGTGGCGAGTGAGTTCGTGTTTCTTTTGTAATCTCTCGGGTTGATGAGGCAGCGCTCGGTTTAGGGTCCCCTGTTGCGTGCGAGTTTGCAGGATGGAGTTCTCATCGACACCATCTCTCTTGGCACCTGAACACACCGACAGTCATGGTAAGCCACTGTTGGGCGAGCCCTTTTCAGGATGTCGTGAAGATCATGAGGCGCTACGATGAAAACACGAACAAGAGCAACTTCTTTTTCTTCGATGTCTTCAGCATGAATCAGCACGACCTTTCCGATCTTTCGGGACCTGATTCCAGGGACCGGTCTGGACAAGATATGTATGACGTGATGCTAGAGGCTCTGACAAACTCGATCCGCACGCCTCGTCGCGTGTTGTTGGCGTTGACACCTCACCACGAACCGCAGCTGCTTTCACGATCTTGGTGCTTGGATCGCAGCAGTTGCGTAATCGTGGGCTTCCATGCGAGCTTCGACGTGTTTTTTGAATGTTTTTTACAGGTGATGGTTCATAAGGTGGAGGGTTTAATCGCAATTCTCGTCGACCACCGTAGCGGCTGATGTCCTTATCGTTTCTTTCTCTTCTTATGCCTGAGACACGCAGCAGGTGCTTGTACGAAATATATATTGCACAGAAGCTGAAGGCGGAGGTCTCTTGTGGGTTTGTTCCAGCCGCAGAGCAACAGGTCATTCAAAGCTTACAGCAGGGCGATGCGCTGATCGAGCATATGCTAAACAAAGTGGATGCTGAGAAGTCGCAGGCCACTGTGGAGTCCGACCGTCTCATGATACTGGAGCTCATCCAGAAGGATGGCGTGAGCAACTTCAACCAGTTTGTGCGAGAAAAGTTCGCGGCTTCACTCCGGCTGGTGGCATTGACAACAGTGCCAAGCGATGTCGTGGAAGAAGCTGTGGTTTTGCCAGATCGAACGGTTGTGACAAGAAGTCACTTCCTTGGTATCCTTGCCCGCAGTAAGTCGGAGTTAACGGATAGAGATTTTGAGGAGATTTTTCAGATTTGAGTTCTTAGAACGCAGGGTGAGCAAGTGGATTTCCGAAGACCACCTCTGCTGGTAACGCTGCTATGCCCCTACCAGGCAGGGCGTCCTTATATATCGCCCTTATGTCTCAGTATTATATTTGCCTGTATTTCTAAAGAATTCGTGTCAGCGTTGGACAGGGAAGGCCTCTTGGCACATGCCCGGTCTCGGGCTGGGGATGCTCAAAAAGTATCTTGTCATCTGACCGAATCAAACGAGCCGCGTTCATCCCCGCAACCCGCCGTGGCTTGTCATACGACGACACAGCTTGGCGCGGGCTCTTTCTGCGAAACAGGCCGAGCCTTGCGAGCCAAGATTTTCTCGCGAAGTCTTCTCTGCCATGGGCATGCTGAGTTTCGAAACGGAGTTCCGAAACCCTTCAACGACGCCTTTCGAAGCGAAGCTTCGGAGGCTAAGACCCGACCACGCGCTTCGCCATGTGCCATCAGTCCTAAAAGCTTCGCTTGGAAATTAAGCGCAGGAAGCCACGCAGCTGACTGCACGTCACAATGTGCTGCATCTTCAAGCACAGTTCTTCAGCTCGGCTCTGAGGTTAAGTGGGCGACTTGATGAGGCAAAGCTACTTTGGTTCCTCGTTTGCAGACTCGCACGCACACAACTCTGCGTGCTAGCTGCGTGCCCGCACACATACACACACGAAGTGCGATCAAGCCGTCAATGGCATATGTATAGCAAGAGCGAGGGCGGCAACTCTTTTGCATGAGCTGATGAACGAATTGAGGGTGGAGAAGGGAGCTTCTTCTCGCGGTTTCATTGGACAGGCCAGCACAACAGGAGACTGCGAGCGACGACTTGGGAGCCTTCCACCAAAGAGGCAGACGGAGCCGTCTCCCTTCTTCACAGCTCAAGCCCTGAGTTGTCTTTACGCAGGTTGTGTTAGGGAGCCTTGCTAGCCAGATTCTCACAGATTTTTGGGCACCCCCTTCCACAGTCCCCCACTTTGTCCCACTGCCAGATTAGTGCTGCTGCGGTTGTTGCAGAGGTTTCGACGTTGTGAGATGGACAGAGGGCGACAGAAAGGGACAGCTTTTGTCCGGTCATCAGGCATGCTGCAGGCATTCGGCTTCAGCCATGGGTGGGCCTTTTCGAAAAGGTCCCGAACTCTTCAAGAGCGGGACCTCCTATTATGGAAGATTGTGAGGTGCGTGATGACTGGTCACGCATGTGCTCTCCTGTGCTAAGCACGGAGCTGATTCAGTTTTTTTCAGTATGCTTCTGTGCCATGGTTGCTTTGATTGTTGCCCTTTGGGCATTGTATGCAGCCTGCCTATCCCAAATAAGCCGGCCGATGTTTCGCGTCTGGAGCTTCACACTTGCGGCGCTTGGTTTCGTGCTGAGTACACCACAAGCTTTCGTCCGAATCAGCGACCCATCGCTCCTTCCCACAGAGGATGCTGTCCTTCTCACGTCTTTCGTACTTGGAGACGTAATGAACCACATAGCCCTGCTGATGATCATTTACTGGGACATTTGCAGAGAGTCTGTTATGTTGATTTTCGCATTGGATCCAGCAAAGCAAACGAAGAGCTTGAGGCTGTCCTTCGGCGTCGGCTCAGGATTCATGCTCAGCCAGGTCGCGATCCTGGGTACGTTTCTGCCGCTTATGGCGTTCTTGGAGAAGACGTCCCGGGGCCTGACGATTAGCATCTTCTACGTCGGGCAGGTGAGCTTTGTCTTCGGATTCGCACCCCCTGTGGCTTTTGGGCTCCTCGCGAGGAGTTTGCAGAAGCTCTGGGCCGAGTTGCCACCCGATCTTCCAAGAAGACTTGACCACCGTCTGCGTTATGCCCAATCGGGCCTCTACCTGCTCTTGCTGGTATGCCTGGTCTATGCACCCTGCGGGCTCTTTCCGGCGATTATACCCCAGCTGAACGACTTGGGTGGCTTCATCTATACATACATCGTCATGCTGGCCGCCGCCGGCGTCGTGGTGCTTTTGCTGGTTGGGGAACTGATATTGACACTAAAGCAGTTGCGAAGCAAAGCTCGCCAAACACCGCCTCTTGCTGCGGAGCAGGTGGTGAAGATTGCGCGGGCTGGTGCAGAGAGTCTTCGATGTCGGGAGGATCGCCCACATGGCGTATACACTCCTGTCTGGCAGCGGGGGCTTGAGCACTCGATCATGCAAGGCTTCCTGGAACTGGCGTCCGAGGGGCTCTCAGAGTCCGCGATTAAGACCAACGAGGTCTGCCAGCAGCATGTCAAGCCACTTACAGCTCCTGCGCGCTGCTCCGCCTGGGAGGCGCTGGGTGCAGGACATGTCGTTGCACTGTGCTGGGGCATGGGAAAAGCAGTCTTTTTCCTTCTGCCTTCAAAACAACCCCTTTCCTCGACGGCATTAGCTCCTGCGAGATACCGCGACAGTTTTGAACGTTTTGAAAGTGTCGCTGTAAGCTGTAGCTCACGGGCTCTCACCTAAATTGCGAACCTCATGCCTTTTTGATCCATGCCCTGGTGCTGTTCACGTTTGGTTCGAGTTTGCAGGATGGGATTCCTTGACCATGGACGCTCGTCGACACCATCTCTCTCAGCACCTGAACACACCGACAGTCATGGTAAGCCACTGTTGGGCGAGCCCTTTTCAGGATGTCGTGAAGATCATGGGGCGCTACGATGAAAACACGAACAAGAGCAACTTCTTTTTCTTCGATGTCTTCAGCATGAATCAGCACGACCTTTCCGATCTTTGTGGGCCTGATCGCAAGGACCAGCCTGGACAAGACATGTATGATGTGATGCTAGAGGCTCTGACAAACTCGATCCGCACGCCTCGTCGCGTGTTGCTGGCCTTGACACCTCACCACGAACCACAGCTGCTTTCACGATCTTGGTGCTTGGGTTGCAGCAATTGCGTTATCTGGGGCTTGACCTGTGTACAAACCTGTGTTGGTTTACTTTAGGGTTTAGTGGGCTCTGCTGTTGAGGAGTGTTAGCTGGCACACAATCCAAGCTGATGCTGAAAAGTAGTGTTCACCTTACCCTTGTCTGGTGGTTTGGCAGATTTTGCAGTGCTAGGTCAGTGCTAGGTTTGCAGGTCTCAAGTGGTGCCCCACTGATGAACAGAACATGCCCACAGGACTCAGCTCTGCCAAGCTCGCACCATTTCGCCCAGCATTTCTAGACATGTCTCCATGAGCCGAACGCAGATGTGGGGGCATACCCGCGCTCCTGCAGGAAGCATTCCACGTACGGTAGCAACTCTTTTGGCACAGTCTTCTTGTGCCATGTCAGGCATCCGAAAAGCAAACGTTTAAGCTGTCTCTGTTCTCAACTGGTCTCTCATTGCTGGTTCGCTCTTCGCAGTACTCCTCCAACTCCCCCTAGATTTTGCGACAGCCTCGCTCGCTCGTGTCAGAGAACTGCAGGCCGGAGAACTGTCCCAAACCGTAAATCGGCTCCAGTATCACTCCGCATAGCGACTGATGTCCGTACCGTCTCTTCGCCTCATTATCTCTGAGACACCTTGCAGGTGCTTGTACGAAATTTACATGGCATGGAAGCTGAAGGCAGAGGTATCTTGTGGCTTTGTCCCAGCCGGAGAACAAATGGTCATTCAAAGCTTGCAGGAGGGCGATGTTTTGATTGAGCATATGTTATCCAGAGTGGATGCGGAGAAATCGCAGGCCACTGTGGAATCCGATCGTCTCATGATCCTGGAGCTTATCAAGAAGGATGGCGTGAGCAAGTTCAACCAGTTTGTGAGGCAAAAGTTTGCAGCTTCACTTCGGGTGGTGGCGTTGACAACGGTGCCTGGTACCGCTTCAGCGGACATGTTGGACTGGGCGCCGGACTTGCCAGAAAGGACTCTTTCTTGTGACACAAGAAGCCACTTCGCTCGACAGATTTCCTTGGAGACGACGATCGATGACAATGTCCGGCACATAAGAGAGATTTTCCGTGTTTAGTATCATTACCGGTCACAATGCCGCATCTCGGCAATTTTTTTATGGTAGTTCGCGCAGAAGTGGCACGAAGACTTTGTACATGCGTGGCATGGCAGCCGCTGGGTAGCCCCCGGCCTCTGCTAAGTCGTGGTGGCCTCGAGAATAATTTGATTCGGGGGAAATGGTAGCTGGTAAGTCCGTGTACGTACGTGACGACATAGTCACAGTCGGAGCAGAAACATCGTTTCCCCCGTGTCTGTTTTGCTTTCGTCGGGCCAAGTTCCAAATCGTTGGGTGGAGGGTTTCCTCTGTGAAACAGTCGAACCCTACACAATGTTACATAGAATCAGAAGTAGATGATCGGAGATATCATCGAGTCTATTTAAAAAGAAGGCATCCGT